TGGCCTGGGATGGAGGAGAAGGGGCCATTTCCACGGCTGGGAGGGCGATTAATTAAAGTGGGTTAATAGCAGGGCATTGACACAGCCACTGCAGCTTCCACCTGGAAGCACGACAAGCCTTCACAGGGTGCTGCCAAAAGCACGGCGGAGAGGGGAAGGGAAGAGAGAAGGGAAAAGAAGGGAAAAGAACGGAAAAGGAAAAGAGATTGGAATGGAAGGGAAAATAGGGGAAAAAAAAGGGAAAAAGAAAAAAAAAAGAAAAGGAAAAGGGGAATGGAAATGGGAAAATGGAGAATAGGAGAAATAGGAAAAAGGGAGAACAGTGGAAACAGGAAAAAGGGAAAATAGGGTAAATAGGGAAAAGGGAGAAGGGAAAATAGGAAAGGTGGAAAATAAGGAAAAGGGAAAATAGGGAAAAGCAAAAATAAGACAAGGGGAAAGTAAGGTAAACAGGTAAAAGGGAAAATAGGGAAAATGGAAAATAAGAAAAATGGAAAATAAGGTAAATAGGTAAACGGGGAAATAGGGTAAATAGGAAAAAGGGAAAGGGAAAAATAGGGAAAATATAGGGAAAATGGAAAAGGGCATATAGGAAAAGGGAAAAGAATAGGGAACAGGGGCAATGGGGGCAAAGGGAAAATAGGGAAAAAGAAAAAGGGAAAATAAAAGGGTAAAGAAAAGGAGGGAAGAAGGCGGCAAGGGCAAAAAGAGGCAGGGGCAGGGGCCGGAGGAGGCAGCCCGCAGGAGGAGCCCGCAGCCCCGGGCCGGCCCCGCAGCGCTCCCTGCCGGCCGCGGGGGTTTTGGGGGGGGGGTGCGGCTGGGTCCGTGCCCTTGTTCCCAAAATGGGACATGGTGGGGGCTTGGCTGCTCCCTCTGGTTAATTACAGAGGGTCTGTTTCTCGTTTCGGTGGGCTTCGGGCCAGCCCCGAGCAGCTCTGTGCCCCCCAGCCCCTCTGCACCCATAACATGGGGCAGACAGGGCAGTTTTGGGGCCCCCACCCGCCGAGCCCACCTCAGGGTGCTGCGTTTGGGCAGCTCCCAGCTCGGCTGCACCATGCCCGAGGCCCTGCAGCCTCCAGGTGTCACACAGCACCACCAGGGATGCTCAGCACCAGGTGCCCCGTCCCCGTCCCTGCTCCTCGTGCCTGTGCCGTGGCTTTCCTGGCAAATCCCCTCGCCTCTCGCAGGCCCTTCTGGAAGCCACCTCCTCCCATTGTTCCCGCAGCCACCTCGCAAGGCGATGCCATGCTCCTTTCGCTTTCCACACTGTCAGCCCACCACCACTTTCTTTGGCCTCTTTCTGCCAAAACCCCTCCGTGGCAGGGCCTGGTCCCATCTCCCGTGGTGCTCCCACTGCTCCCAACACCGTGCGGGGCTGGACGGAGGGATGGGAGCAAAACCCTCGTGGACTCTCACAGCCCCAGCTCGGCCCTAACCCTGGTCCCGGCACTTCAAAGTGCCCCAGCAGATTTCCCTGTGCTCCAGACGCTCCCTCCCATTTCCTGCTGGATTCCCGTCTCGCTCCCTTCGCCCGCATCAGCAAAACAGAGTGTAAAAATAGAGGCCGGGCTTCACCCAAACACAATAGTAAATTGTTCCCCGGAAAGGTCACTGGGGCGTCTCAGAATAGCTCCGGGAGCAGGGGAAAATGAATGTGTGCAAGGGGGGATGAATCTGAAGGTGATGGCTGGACCCCCGATGTGAGGTCCCCCTGCGTGTCTTGGAGCATCCCCATCTATCCCCAGCCACCTCCAGCCTTTTTGGGGTTGGCCATCACCCTGAGCCTCACCCTGTATGGTGGAAACTCAGCAAACCCAAAGCAACGTTTGGGTGTAAAAGCGGAAAAACTGGGAAGCAAGCAGCAGAGGAGAGGCATGAGAACCAGGGATGCAGAAAAGGGATGGGAGGAGGACAAACGTAATCGCTGCATATGCTGGGCTCATCTCCGGGCTGCCCGTGACAGCACCGTGTCCCCTGGGCACCTGCGGCCTTTGTGCAGCGGTGGGAACACCAGGGCCGAGCCTGTTGCCAGTGGGGCTGAGCCCCGGCAGCCCCATGGGACGAGCAGTGCATTGAGCAGCCCCGCCGGCCATAAATTACTGCCTCCTCTTGTCGATGCCCGCAGTGATGAAGGGGTGAAGCTTTCTCATCGCCTGCACGGGTGGGAACGTGTGGGTCCTGATGTTCCTATGAGCATATTTTAATTGACAAATGTGGGAAGCCCCTTTATAAAGCAGGTGCTTGCTTTTTTTTTTTTTTTTTTGGCGGTGTTGCTCCCACTTCGGGCTGCCGTGGTGCATGGCTTTTCCAGGAAGGCTGTAATTAAAACCAGATAACGAGGCTGGAAAATAAAAGCTCAAATTTTTGGTGACAAAAGGCACAAATTTTCGTGTTTCACTGGCTGCAAAAAGCATGACTCTCCCACCTTCTCTCTCAAATTTAATTCAATTTTCTCTAACTGGTGCCACTTTCCCATCCTTTCTCTCTCCCCAGTTTCATCTCTGCCCCAGCCACCTCATGAGTGCAGTCTCAGGGGGATTTTCTGCCACTGGGTGCCCACACGTCACGTTAGAAATGTGCCTGAGCACAATGCCTTTAAACGCTTTTGCTTCTGGTTTATGAGGAAACCACTTTTTGCCTGAAAATTCCCCACAGCGTGAGGCAGATCAAAATCCCCATCGCTCCCGAAGCGGCGTGTAACCAGCTAGCTGCGTCTGGTGGCCAAAGCAATGAGCCCCAGGCTCCTCCACGTGCCCTGACCAGCTGGGGGCAAAGTCACCCACAAAATCACCCCCATCCCTGCAGACATCATTTTTGTGCAAGACCAGGCCCTAAAAAATACAGAGGATAAAAGCAGCTTGTTTTCTTTTCCCTTATATTTGGACTCGTGTGACTGTGTGGTTCCAACACCAAACTTACGCAGGAGGTGGGGGGACCCCGGTCATTTTGGAAAATGCTTGGAGTCAGGGCAGTGTTCACCACCACCTGCAAGGCAAGACTTTTGTATAACAAAAAATACAGATTGATGGAAAAAGAATTAAATTTTCCATCAGAAGACAGAAGCAAGAGCAGCTTTCAGAGAGGGTCCGTCAGGAGCGACACACGTTGGTGAGTGGGCGGCATCACCCCCCCAGCCTTTTTTGTAGAGCCCTGTGTTAAATGTATGTGTGCAGGGAGAGGTTTTAAACCCTCACCTTGAGTGTGTGTGTCCCAAATAAAACGTCGTGCTGCCGGCGAGGGCTGCGTGACCCAGCGGGCTGCTTTCATTTAAAAAAATAAGCAGAAGGCGGAGGTGGAGGGAGACCTGTCCTGGCGGCAGGAGGGAGGGAGCAGGCTGGGACGTGGGAGGGAGAGATAAACGGCATGAGGGCTATCGGCTCCTTCCTGGACGGGGTTGACACATCTGTGCAGCGGTGATGGGACGACAGCAGATAAACACCCTGCTGCAGCCCAACGCCCGTCCCGCACCCACCATGGGGCTGTGCTGAGCCTGCCGGGCTTTGTAGCAGCTCGGCTCTGGGGGATGCTTTGAAAAAGCGAGGGATGCTCTAAAAGAGCACGTGGAAATAGTTTGTGACTCCAGAAGTCATGGAAATTCAGGCCAAGGAATACCAGCAGTGGTTTTGTTCACCTGCTCCTTGTCATAGGAGTGGTGTTGGCCACAGCGCGCTGCAGCTGCACACACATCTTCAATGCACCAGGTAGCCCTATAAATATTATATATAAGCCCTATAAACATTATATATATATGATTAACGTCACCAGCTCACCAGCTTTTTAGCATTTCTGCACATGGCCGTGACAACCACTTCTTGTTTTTCTGTTTTGTTTTTATTTGTTTCTTTGAAAAAGAGGAATTGCTGTCACCGCCTATTAAGACACAGCCAAACGCTGCCGGGGACTGAAAACAGCAGCATTGCCCCCAGCAGCCCCAGCCCCAAAAGAGGGGCAAGGCCACCAGCTGGGGACTTTGGGGGACCTGCAAATAACTCACAGCAGTCCTGCTGTGCCCGCTCGGCCCGCGGCAGGGGATTGCTCCACAGTGCGTCTTCCTTCCTGCCGCCCGCCCCGGCCTCCCGCCCTGTCGGGACGGGTAAATTGTTTTGCAAGGGCTTTGCTGGCCACAGATGGCTTTTGGTGGCCGGGCATGGGCTGTCCTGTAGCACACGGAGCTGAAATACCGGTGGGTGAGAGCAAGGAGAGGGGAGAGAGGAGAGCGAGTGGAGGCTGCTTTGTAAAACTTTATTTAGAAATATTCTCGATATATTCATTATATATATATATTTATATATACAGACACATTACAACAAATGTGTTTTCTAAATAGCACATCCACAGTGGGTTGAGAATCAGGGTACCAGGTCTGGTCACTTCGTTTCTGCAGAAAAAATGCAGAAACCCAAGGGGAGGGCGGCAGAGAGAGGGACGGGGCTGGAAGAAAAATCATGGCAAGGAGAGAATTCAATCACACGGTACGACATTGACCCAAAGTGCCGTCTCGAACAGAAACGTGGCGATGTTCCACACACCAAGACATGAAGCAGGCAGGAGGGGAGGTGGGTGGAGGAAATGTACCATTCAAATCACAATTAAAGTACGACTGTACATACCCCGGGAGGACTACGGCGCGCCCTGCTACGAGGCTGGAGGCAGGCGTGCGTGCGGGTGGGTGTGGGTGGCGAGGAGGTTGTACCATTCTGTCAACTGTTCAGCTACCGAAAAGGGAGGAAAAAAATAAAATAAAATTGTGGGGAATGAGGAATTTCGGAGTGTCGGTGATTTTTCTTGCAGTAGTTCAATAAAAAGTAAGACCCAGGGTTATTTCAAAAGCTGAAAACTGAGAACTGCTTGACCCGTGTGACAGCATCCCTCTCCCTTCCCGGGGGGCCGGTGCTGGTGGCAGTGTCCCAGGAGACCCTTGCCAGCCCCTGGGCCCCCTGCCCATCCCCGCTGCCCTCCTCTCCTGCCCCAGTACCAGGGACACCGGTAACCGCTCAGCATCACTCCAGCACCCCCTGGCACGAGTGGTCTGGACCCCAGAGGGCATTTTCCTCTTTTTCCCCAATATACAACGTGGGAAGCTGCCAATTTCTGAGGATTTGGGGCTATGCTGGAAACCCCTGTTTGAGCTTGGAGCCCTTGGTGGGGAACACATCCCACTTAACGCGCTTGCCCCAGGGTGGGAAAAGTCAGCCTGATGCTTATTATTTACAAAAAGACCCTAAAAACAAGTGAGGATAGAAACAACCAGGCTACGCCGTGAGCATGCTGGCAGGCACACGCACAAATCCTGTGTTCCCTTGTACCTCAGCACCTCTGAGGAGGAATTAGTGTGATGGAAAGCATCCCTGCTCAGAGGGCTCTTTCCCTTACGGAGGATGTGTGTTTTTTATGGTAATGTGGCAATTTCTGGGCCTTGGAGCACAGGGAGAGATTGGGCTGAGAGGGGGGCACCCCACAGCACCAGTGCCTGGCCTCTGCTTCCCAAACACCCACCCGGGGCAGGGATCAGAATATCGGGTCCATCACGACCCTCAGTTCTGCAACCACCTAAGCTATTGGTTTGGAGGCTAACCCCAACGGTGCTGTTAGCACTCACCCTATGCAAGGAAATTTGGAAGGCTGCGGCCTCCTAACAGCCTCACCCAGGCAAGGGCCTCCGAATGCCTCCTTGCGCCCAGCCTGTGGGCACCGGCACGGGCGCACGACCATCACTTTCACACAACAAAACCAAAAAAAATTCAAAGCATACCACCAAAACCCTTTTACAACCCTATGTACACGCACGCTGCTGGTGCATCATTGATTCCCTTGGCTTTTTTCAATCCAAAAAAGTCCCTGGTTCAATGGGAGGCGACGTTTTCTCTCCTTACCAATCCTGACATTCATCTTCCTCGAGAGGAGCTCTGCCCTACAGAAAGCGCCGGGGAAGCTCAAGGAGACCACCTCGGGACCTCGCCTGCTGCGTTACCAGCAGAGGAATCGGGGACACGGAGGGCGGTGGCGAGCAGAGAACACCCTTGTACCTTTTGTTCAGTGGACACTGTGTGACGGCATTAAACAGAAGTAATCCCACGTCATAAATACAACACCCCAAACAATCCAGAGCTGGGCAGAAGGGAAAGGCAGAGAAAAAAAAATAAAAAGAAGAAGAAGAGGAGAAAAAGAAAAAGTCTCAATCCTTTTAATAGTTCTTTTGCTGAGGGCATTTTCACCTCTTTAAAAAGGTACAGTCAAAAGCTCTCGGACAAGAGGCCCCCATGGCCCTGGCTCTGAGAAGCCACACGCGCTCCTGGGGAAAGGCAGCAATGCCCGCAGCTCCCTGCGGCCTCCAGTGCCACGTCCACGGCCTCGGCTGGAGAGAAAGAGGAGTTCGGTGTCTCCTGGCCCAGCTGGGTGACTGCTTAAGTGGCCATCAAGCGGTCTGAAAAACCCTCGAAGTGCCGGAGAGGCGCTGGCTGCGTCGCCCTCCCCTCCTCAGAGTCACGCCGCGAGCGATATGTACAACGAAGACGACTTCAAAGCTTTTCTTCTTCGTACGGTCCCGTACCTAAACGCCGAGCGTCTGTCCCGTCGGGCCTTGCTCTCGGCCAACGCGCCGCCCGCCCCGTCCTGGGCCAGGAGGACGGGGAGCCCGAGCCCCAGGGCAGAGCGTCCCAAAATCCCACCCGCCCGGGTCTCGCCTCCCCCTTCGCGCTCGGGGAGCGCCGTGGGGGTCATCACCGCTGCGCGTTGCCTTCTACGGGGAGGATGGCGTGGTGCAGGCCCCGCGTGTGCTTCGAGTCCAGCGCCTCGTGCTCTTCCGTGAAGCTGTCCGGGCTCGCCGCGCCATCTAAAGAGCTCCCACAGCTGGAGTTAGGAGACAACATATCCTGCAGGAGGTCTTCCTGGACGATCCCCGAGTCTTTGTTCCCTTTGCCCCTTTGGTTTCCTTCTTCCTCCTGGTCGTTGAGCAGCTTGGCCAGGAAGTTGATGTATTTCATGGCCAGGCGCAGGATCTCGTTCTTGCTCAGCTTTTTGTCGGGCGGGTGAGTGGGGATGAGCTTGCGGAGCTCGGCGAAGGCTCCGTTCACGTTCTGCTGCCTCCACCTCTCCCGGCTGTTGGTAAAGATGCGGCGAACCACTTTCGTGTGAGGACCTGCAAGTGCAATGGTGCACAATTAGGACTGACCCTTACCAAGTCATTAAATGCTTCAGAGAGTAAGCTGCTGTTTCCCAAATTAACCAATTTATTTTAGTCACGTTGGCAAGGCAGGGAGGCAGGAGTTTCCAGCTAACTGGAAGCTACCTGAGGAGGCACAATAGCCATAATTTTCTTCGGTCCAGTGGAAGGGAAAAGTTGAGTAGCATCTTTTTAGATGCCTTCTGAGATGCCTAAATTTAGCTCTCCAAGGAGAAAGGCTCAGGCCGTGACCTGCGCAGAAAGCTGGTGTATTTTTAGGGTATTTCAGTAACAAAAAAGTCCTATTAAGAGGCTAAGTCACCAGATGGTTTTATTTTCCATCTCAAAAGTCTCTTAAGGACACACCAGTGGGACAGAGGCATCTGCAGGAGCAGAGGCTTTAACAGGACTAAGACCCAGAGATTTCCCTCCTGCCCCTGATGCCACCAGGACCAAGGGCTGGCAGAGACCATGGAGCTGGTTCGTGCTGTGGGGTGGCAGGATTCGACCCAATGTCACACAGGGTGAAAGCAGAGCCCTTGCTGCAAGAGTGACCATGGGTGGAGGATGAAGTTTTGCAGCTGACCCAAGGACCACCTGCTGTCTCTGCACCGCAGGGCGAGGGCTCCCTATCAGACACTAATTGGAGAAGGGACCCTCGATCACCAGGGGTGTCTATTTGGCTCGGTTACATGTGAATTTCACTGCCATATTCCTGAAGGGACATGTAGCACAGGATGGATGCCCAAAATGTCAGTTCTCCTTTCAGCTCATCAGGGTAATTCCTGCTGGCATGACCTAGGCATTGCTAGGGGAAACCCAGAGCAAAAATCAGCCCAACAGTACAGTGCTACAGGAGTAGCAATGCCGTAATGCATTATATATATATAAAATGCATTTTATATATATATATATATATATATATATATATATATATATATATATATAAAACATAACAAACTATGGAAGAAAGACCATGGCAGAATCCACTGTAGGAGCAGGAAGCATGACAGACAAAGAAAACCATCCCAAAGTAAGAAGCAAAGGCTTGCAAACAACCCATCGATGGCCGTGCCCTAAGGTCTCTGCCCTGTAGCCCTGGGAGACACTTGCCCAGCAGTCACACGAAGTGCTCCTGGTCGTAGGGTCTGCATGGGGACACTCATCCAAGGAGGGTAAAGCTGTCGGCTTCTCCAGCATGTGGGCACCCAAAGGACTCCCTGCCCCTTGCTGCCTGCTCAGGAGGAGCAGGGAAGTCCCCACAGACCGCAGAGGCAGGCGGCAGGGAGAAACTCATCTCCAGCTGCTAAGATCCCAGTTTCATGCCTTAGTAAAGCCAATTTTCCCCTCTCAAGCAGCACGTAAATGCCTTTCAAATGAATTAATGTGCAACAGCTCAGGGAAGGGAGAAGTCTCTTGCCCTCTGTGCCCCAGGGTGATGGGGAAGGTGGTGGGGACCGAGGGGACCTCAACCACCTGCAGGACTCAGCTCTGCTGGAGAACATGCTGCCATCTCCTATAGGGGTGCAACAATTCCTACACTACAACGCTCTTCCCAGACAAAACCAAGCAAACAGCCTTGCATCTAGAAGGAGATGCGGCTTAAAATCTTTTTAGGAACATAGAGTATGAGAAAAAAATAATGTGGATAATGTTAATTTTCAAAAAGTCTCATTCTTCACAGGCATCAAACCTGCATCTCATTCACTGAAGGCTGCCTGCTAAGAGGCTCCTGTTCCTAAAATTTTGAAGTGAGACAGAAAACCATCTTCATTTCATCTGGGGGCACTCAAAACAAGCTCAAGACTCTAACATAAATTCTGGCACCACCACAATTTTTGATCCCACATCAAGGCCAGTAACTGAATTAAACACGTATTTTAAAAGGAGCCCAGGCTTTGGTCAAAGCGTGTCAAGCAGTGCAGAAATTTAAAATGCCCCATAGCTGTAATAAAATGGAAGAGATTCATTTCTCATGAAGGAGCTCGCCTCATAATTAATCCAAGCGGTTGGCTGAGAATTTCTGCCTGGATTTTGTTCCAATTGATTGATCGATGCTTTTTTAATTGCAATTACAAATCTGAGAAAAAAAAATAGCAGAAAGATGAGCTTCCAAAGCTACAGAATATTCTCACAGATAGGGCTTTTTTACATTTTTTACATTTATGCCTCTGTGTAGATCTGTTTTGTAAGTGTGGCACAGTCACTGCACGCTGCTGTCCCCATTCCCCATATGCTCAGCACCAAAACCTCCTCGCTGCAAATCCACGAGCCAGAATCTGCAGGATCAGGCCCAAACGACAGACCTGCATTACCTGGTGAGCACAGAGCCAACAACTCGGTTACAACCAAACATCTCTGCAGTCCCTAACGCCTAATTTAATAACGGCACCGGAGGGCGAAGCAGGCACCGGGATTTGAGGGACCTCACCGCAAGCACTCAGCCTCTGCCCAAACCCAACAAAACGAGGTTGTGGTGCGGGGCTGAGCCACCTGGGGACACAGCTCCTGCACCAGGATGGATGGGCTGAATGTGCTGGACAGATGGAAGAGGAAGGAAAGCTGGAAGGGGACAGAAGCAGCAATGAACGCAGATAACACAGCGAGCCCATTATTCTGCACTGTGTCATTTTAGTGATGTGGATTATGATTTGTCTGATTTGGGATTGGGAAGAAGGGGACAGGGAGCTGGAGGGAAGGATGGCGAATTGTCCATCGGCTGACACACAGCATTTACATTTGCTAGAGAGAAGGCGACCCGCAGGCAGGTGGATGTGTCAGCCTCGCACACCCAGCCCGTTTGTGCAAGCATCCTTGTGTGCGTGCATCCTCCTGCTCCACGCGGGCTGCTGCAAGCCCCGCTGGCTGCCCAGCCCAGCTGGCCGGATCCTGCCCTGCCTTTCCCTTGCCACCTTTCCCCCAGCACAAAGGGGATCCCCGCTCCTTGGGACCCCCCAGGACCGGGCAGGGGACCTTAGCAGGGCTGCAGCATGGTGCCGGCAGCTGCGGGATGATTGCGGTGCTGACCCCGCACCCCTTACCCCTCTGCTCCCCGGCAATTTTGGGGGTAGCTCGGACCTTGCTGAGCTCTGCCTGTTGAAGGCTGGTGGCTGCCAGGCTTTGCACGCAGAGCCGGGCACTGCACTGGCCCGATCCAGCCCCCGCGCTCCAACAAAGACGAGCACAGCGGCTCCCTTCGGACCGAACCTCAAAGCGATCTGCGGGGTAGGGGAGTAATTAGGCAGGGTAATTAACCACAGGCTGAATTAACCACAGACCTCTTTGCTGAATTAAACCCCCACGGCACACGCTGCTGCTGGGTCACCAGCCCCGGGCTCTGCGCGGAGCCTTACCCGGGGCAGGGGGCACCCTGCAGGGGATCCCTCCCCCCCGTCCAGCCGCTGCCCCCCAGACAGGAGCGGCCCCCCCGGTGCTCACCGTCGTTGATCTCCATCTCGTAGGGCGAGGGCCTCCTCTTCACCCGGTTGCCGCCGTACATGGAGAAGGAGTCGGGCTCGCCGAAAAACCCGCTGCAAACGAGAAGCAGAGGAGGCGGTGAGAGAAACCAGCAGCTCCCGGCTCCCGGGGGATGCCCGAGGCTCACGAAGCCCAGCCCGGGGCGTGAGGAGGGAGGAAGGGGCTGCACGGAGCCGGGACACGCAGCCGGGCCGGGCAGGGGGGTCGCTGGTCACAGCCCCCCCAGCAGCCGGCGCCGTACGCCCCGTCGGGGCGCACCCGCGTGCCGGTCGCACTGGAGGGGGGAAAGGGGGCTCCCCTCCGGCCCCACAGCCCTGGGACCAGTCTCTGTACCCCGCATTTATCCCCGGGGGGCACCCCAGTTCTTGAAAGCATTTATCAGATCCTTTTCCTCCCCCCCCGCAAAACCGCCCGAATGGCTGCTCTGCCTGCGGTATTTCTGCCGTGGATTTTTTTTTTTGCTGTTTTCGAGGAACGAGTTTTTCGTTTAGATTTTTTTTTCCCCCCTCTTTCTTGCGAAGTTACCAGCAGGCAAACCCGCGATGACTAAGCCGAGCCCCCCCCCTTCCCTTTCTCCATCCCTCCCTCCCCAGCCTCGGGGGGCTCCCCTGGGGGGAACCGCTGCAGTGGGACCCCCCCAGAAGAGAAATAGGGGCGCAAGCTGGGGGGGGCACGAACCTGCCGATGGCTCCCAGCGGCTGCCCCAGGTTGTAGAGCATGGCCCTGCCGGGGGGCTGCAGCGGGAGCGCGGGGGGGCTCAGCTGCACCATGCGGGCTTCGCAGGCGGCTTCGGCGGCTCGGCACGGCTCGGAGCCCGGCGCTCTCTGCATCGCCTCCCCCGCCGCCTCCCGGCTTTTTATGTCCAGGGAGCCCCCCCGGCGCACCAGCTCGATGACGGGCACGGCGGCGGCGGCGGGGGGCCCGGGGGAGGGCCGGCCCGCCTCCTTGGCCGCCCCATTGAGCAGCAGCTGGGGCTCCGGCGGCGCCTCCATGCCCCCCCGGCTGCCGTCGGGCTCGGTCGTGGGCTCCGCTTCCGAGTCGTGCCGCCGGGGGGGGCGGGCATCGCGGGGGTCACTGGGGGGCGGCGGGGCGGGCGGCCTGTCCATCGTCCTGCGGGGAGAGGCGGCGGTGAGAGAGGCCCCTTGGGGAGGGGAGGGGGGGGTAGAGGAAAATGGGGGGGACCGGGGGAAAAAGGAGGGGCAAGGGGGAAAGGAGGGGGGCTAGGGAAAAAGGGTGGAAGGCGAGGAAAACAAATAAATTAGGGTCAAGGGAAAGAAGGAGTGGGGCAAGGGGAAAGGAGGGGCACAAGGGGGAAAGGGAAAAATGGGGGGAAAAGGGGTAAAAGGGGGGTCCCCTAATCCCGCCCCGACGGCGCGCAAGGATGCTGCGCTCTGACGTCACGGAGCGCCCCGGCCCCACGCAGCGATGCATGGCTCTGACGTCACGGAGCGCCCCGGCCCCGCACACACCCCAGGACCCCCCTTTTGCCCCCCAAAAACCCCATATAATCGGGGCTGTCGTTCTGCCCCCTCCCCCGCCTCGCAGACCCGCGCCGTGCCGCGCGGAGGGGGCCCCGCCCGGGGCGGGAGGGGCGCAGGATTTGGGGAGCTGCGCGGCCAAAACGGGCGGTGTGAGGTTCGCTCGCCCCTATTTTGGGGGGATTTCTGCCTTTTTGGGGGATTTCTGCCCGCGGGCTCTGCCACTAGGGCCGGACACACCGCGGCCCGGCCTGCACGGCGACATCTCCTTATTTATTTATTTTTTTTCCCGTCTGTCTGTATTATTATTATTATTTTTTTTTAATAATCGTTCATTTTGAAGACGGAAACAAAGCTGGCGTGGCGATTTGGGGGGGGAGCGGGTTAAGGGCAGGCAGCGGGGAGCGAATCCCCCCTGGCCGGGGAGGCAGGAAGGAGGAAGGGGCCAGGCGCCCTGCGAGGCGCTGCCTTCCCCCCCCCGGCATTGTCTGCTGCCGCCCCTCCAACGACTCCTGTCGCGACAGGGCACCCCGAGCCGAGGGCGGGGAGCCATATCGCGACCGGTTCCGCGCTGCTTCGCCCCCATACACCCTCCTCGTTGTTTTTTTTTTTTTTCCCCATAAATAACGGGTTTCGCCGAGCTGCGGCACCGCGCGTCCCGTCCCCGACCTTCTTGCAGCTTTGGCGTGGGGCATTATTATTTTTTTTTTTTTCGTTTCCTTTGGGCTGATTCAACCCCAATTGAGAGAGAAAACATTATTTTTTTTCCCCTCCATATCTCTCCATCTCCAAAGAAATAAAAATAAATATCAACCCAAAGCACGAGCTTTCTGCCTTCCCTCCAGCCCCCTCCCCGCCAGCCCTCTCGAAAGAAAATCTAATTGCCGATTCCGATATTGTATGGGAAGAGATTACTCACATGTGTCATATTTAAGTAGGGACACCGCAAGTCTCTCCTGTTTCAACAAAAGCGCTCTCGGTGTCAGGCTGAATTTACTCCTCCCACCTCAAGGTACTTACGACTTTACAGAGAGGAAGGACACCCGCATCGGGATAAAACTGCTAAATCCTGGGAGGAAGAGAAAGGAGGAGGGGGGGGAGAGAAAAAGAGGAGAGGGTGGATCTCGTGGGGTCGGGGGAGAGCCGGAGCCCGGCTGGGGAGAGGGGTGCAGGGAGGGGACGGCACCCCCGGGCGGGCAGCCGCACCCGGCCTCGGCGGGGAAAAAATAAGAAATAAAAATAAGAAAAATAAAATAGGTGTAATATAAAAACGGAGGAAAAATCAGCACGATATTTGGGATGAATTGGGTGGGTTTTGGGACACGTTAAGAGCCCGGTTTCCCTGGGAGGAAATCCCAAACGGGGCCGGGGGTGGTTTTATGCCCGTGGGCTCGCAAGGAGCGGCGGGTGGCAGGTGCGGGGGGACAGGGACCGGGATCGGGATGGGGACAGGGACCGGGATAAGGACCGGGAGCGGGATGGGGACCGGGAGAGGCCGCGCTGCCCGCCCGGCCCCGCTGCGGATCAACAGGAAGGCGAGCGCCGTTCCCCCCCCCCCCCGGCACCGGGATGGCGAGCAGGGAGCTTTTCCTTTCGTTAAGCAACGAAATAAAGCAAGCCCGGCGGCCTCGCCTCCCGTTTTCGTTAAAAACGAAATCAGAAACAAAGCGATAAATAAAGAAAAATTAAAAATGACAGCAAAAAAATCCGGCGTTTCGCGTTCGTTGGGGTGGAATTGCATCGAGAAAATGGAGCCGGGCGGGGGGGGGGGGGGGGGGCATTAATTCCCCGCCCGCTCGTTTCTGCTCTTCAAACTCCTTTTGTTTTCCAGCCGCGGATCGGCAGGAAATTTCCAGCCCCAAAACGCACCTCTCCCTTTATGCTTTTTGGGGAAAATCACCCCAAAACGGTGGGGGAAAAGGGAACGGGGTGGTGTGGGGGGAAAAAGGCCCCATCCGTCGGCCGGGCCCCCCCGGAGAGGCCGGGGGCAGCGGGCCCGGGGGGTGCGGAGCCCCCGCTCCTTGCTGCGGCAGCCGGGGGGGCGCGGGGGGCTCGCACCCCAAATTCACAGGGAAGGCTGCTGCCCTCCTCACCCACCCGCATCAAAGAAGAACAAAACGACTTAAAAAAAAAATACACACAACCGCGGAAAAGCCGAGCTTTTCTTTTCTTTCCTCCCCCCTCGCTTGTCCCTGGCACGGTGCAGAAGCCCCCGAGCACCCCACAAATAAATCCAAACCCCCAAAACCTTCCCAAGCGGCCCCGGCCCAGCTGTAGGGCCGGATCCCTCCCCACTCACCATTTGCTTTTCATTGGGAAAAGTGAGTGGAGCCATTTTGTGGCCTACGCGGCGCGGCTATATTTGTAGTAAGTGTTGGGTGGCTTCAGCTGGGTAGGCTCTAATTCCACATCACGTCCAGTTTCCTATTTAGTATGGAGAGCGGAACACTACTGCAATGTGGCCGAGAGAGATAAAACCCCAGCAGTGGCCCGCCTGCCCTGATAAGCTTCTAAACCCATTATTTATGAAATGATTCATTATTATTTGGCAATTTTATCGAAGGAAAGCGGAAAATTATTGCAGGGATATGCATAGGAATAACTCCGGAATGCATGCCTTCTAGCTTTTTATGTGTGTGTGCTTAGATGCTCTTAAAAAGACACTGGGAGGAAAAAAAAAAAAAAAAAAAGGAGTAATAAAAAATTGCGCTGTGCCTGCCCGCATCTGAATAGCAATTCTTTATTTTAGTCCTCTTGGAGGTTATTATGCCCCTGCATTTTTTTTTTTTTTGATTAAATATGGAACACCTACTCCGTTCTTAATTAAATTTAATGAGCCAAAATAAATTGTTGGAGATGCTGAGAGAGAGAGGGAAGGGGTGTGGGCTGCTCTGGGACAAGAGGAGGTAAATAAAGCACGCGGAGAGGAGACGTTTTGGAGAGCAGTGGCCCCGTCCCCACCTTCCTCCCCTCCGTGTCTTGGCTAAAATTGGGGCCGGCTTCTTCTTAATGCTGGCGGATGGGGATGGGGAAGCCGGGGGGAACTCGGCCTTGGGAAATTTGGGATGTGAGCGGCGGGGATTTGTGCCAAGCCCCGAGGAGAAGGGCTCGGGGAGGGGGGGAAGGAGCCCCGGGGGTGCGCGGGGCTCGGCACCGGCAGCGCGCCCCGTCGGGGACGGGCGGCTCTCCATGCGCTGGGGGAGGCGGGCGGCGGAAAATCAACGAAATCGCTGAAAATGAGGAACGGGGGGGCCGGGACCTGGGACGGAGGCGTAACGGGAAGGGCCCCGATCCTTTCTGCGGGGACCCCGGGGCCGGAGCCCGGAGCGGCCGCACCTGCCGGGGGGCGGCGGGGGCCGGGGGGCGGCGGGGTCGCTATTGTGTGCCCGCCACCTGCACGGCCCCGGCCGGGGGGGTGCGGGAAATCGCGGGGCTGTTTTTCTTCCTTTCACTCCTTCCCCTCAGCCTCCCGCTCTGGATGCGGCCGTGGGAGAGGTTTCGCCCCGGCACCGCCCCCCCCCCACCTTCCCCTCCACCCCTCCATCCACCCGCCCCGGGGGATGAGCTCGGGTGGCGGAGGCCGTCACGGTATGGTAGGGGGGGGTTGCTGTCACGATATACAGGGGAGCCGGCACGATAGAGGGAGCCGGCACGATGCGGGGAGCCGGCACGCTGCCGGCACGGTGCGTGAGGCTGCCGGGCAGGGTCGGTCACGACAAGCGGGGAGCCCGCCGTGCCTCCAGCCAGGAAACACGAGCATTTGCAAGCCGGCTCCTCTAACCAACAGGAAGCGTTAAAGATAGAACAGCCGGGGCTGGGCCGCGCAGATTAGGAAGCCGAGCATCTTCTGGGCCCCCAGACCCGGGGGGAGCATTGCCTCCTCCGGCCCGGCTGCGAGCGGAGCCCCCCCGGGTCTCCCCCCGAGCCCCCCGGCACCTGCCGGGCTTCGAGGAGGGCCAGGAGCTGCGCAGCAAAACCTGGAGGTGTTTGGGTTTTGCTAGGATGAAGGGGAGAGGGAAATAACAGGGAAAATAACAGCTCTAAGGGGCTGCCCCCTCCCCGCTGCACATCCCGGGGCTCAGAGCAAACCCAGCAAATTGCGGGGATTTGGACCCGGAGCTGCAGCGGGTGCTTTGGGAAGCAGGCAGCAGGCATCCCAAAACCTCCCAGCCCTACACCGCGAAAGGAAAAGCGGTTTTAGGGAAGGGTGGTTTATTTTTTTCGGCCAGTAACTGAACATTTCAGTGGCTCAGCTCGCTGTCCAGGATCATACACGATTTGCGTAACTTAATTTAATACCACACCCTCGTCCCGAGCTGCGTGCAAGCAGCGAGGCTTTTGTTTTCAAATTGCTCCTCGCCTGCAAGCATTTGAAGAAAGTCTTCAAAATATTAACCAATACAACTGTCATCTTCCTGTGTTTCCAGACATTTTACAATAGGAAACAAAGAACAAAACCCTACAACAATAGCTCAGAGGTATGAATTGCCTCATTCATCCCAGTGGAATGTCCAAAAACATTAACTATTTTTTGGCTACTTCAGCAGAAACCAGGCTGCCGGATTGTAAGCTTGCGCCTGACCCAGTAGCGCTTCAGAGTGGGAAAGCCTCCCCTTCTTCCCGGCACGGAAAAGTAGTAGCAGCTTTCCTGAAAGGAAGCGAATAGTCTTGGTGATGGAAGAGGCTGCTGCGAGGAGAAATTCTGACACAGCGTGAAGCCGCCGCCTTCCTCTCTCTATACCCAGGCAGCTCAGCTTTGCTCTGAAAAAAATAGTGGCTTAATTCAAGCCTGATTCTTAGCCCATAAAGGCGGTAGGTGCTGGAACTCTTACTGTAATAAATTAATTAGCAATTAGTCTATAATCAAACATGCCATAAACTAACAGAGCCACCCCAGCCCTTCAGCTCTGAACGGGAAAAGCCTGGGACTTTGGTGGAGGTTGCTTTAATTTCTGTTTTAACACCCTTTGAGCAGGAAAGACGAGGTCAGCACCGTAGGCTGAACTCGTGTTGAGACAATGCCATCATAAAAACAAAGTTTGTTCACACTCCCATTAAGCCCGAAGCGTGCTGATGCACCACAGCCAGGGAGAAAACAGATGGCACTATGTCATTCGGCCCCGTCCTCCCTGTTACGGATGGTGGGAACTGGAATAAATTGCAACTTCCACCGCCACGGCCTCATTTCCAAGACCAGGAGGTCAGAAGGGAGCCGCGTTAGCTGCAGTGACGCTGGTGGAGCCACGTCCTTAGGACTTGCCAGAGGAAGCTGAGCTGTCAAAGCCAGCGCTGGGCACCTGGGGCTTCCTGAGCCAGGAGGAACGCAACCAGCACCACAATCCCAGGAGTACCTATTACACCTAAACATTTGTACAGAATTCCGAGTCTGAACAGAAAATCAGTAGCTGAATTCCTCAGTTTCCATAATCCCGTAATAGCAATCCCAATAATACGCTGTAAAGCTTTCAGACTGATCTGTGTTAATGAGGAATAATTTATTTATTTTGCTTACCCTCCCACCTAACACTGGGATTCCTGAAGAGTTATTACCAGGTGACATCCTCATACTTCTTCAGCCATTCTCAACAGTGACCAGGAATTAACAAATGTCTTAAATGAAGGCTACACCAAACAACTGGAGATTTTTTATTTTTTTAATGAAATATTTGACCTTTATGAGCAATTCGTAGTTATTAAATAAATAGAAAACATTCATTCAGAAAAAAAAAAAATCACAAAAGTTATGAAAGTGCTAGTTTTCCCCGATTTCCTTATAAAATTTCATGATACAGAGTCTGTTACATGTGCCTTCCTGTCTGAATTCAAAATAACTTTATGCAAAGTAAAACCATGGTTATAGTTCCCTTCCCACCCAGCGCAACCCCACACACAGGAATCCAAACGTTTCAGACTTCTAGAAGTTAGTGCTTTAGCTCTGCTGCCCCTGCTCTGCCACACCACAGCGATGGCTCACAGTTGGCACAAACACGTAAAAGTCAGTAGTTAAAAAATTCAACAGAAGAGCATTTAAATAAGCATCATTATTAAAGCTTCATTAAGGCTTCAAGTTGATTCACCTCCTGGATACTTTAAAATTATGCTTAACTGTAAACACGAGTGCAAACATACTTCAATGCTGACCAGCACTGACTCGACCAGACATCTAGAGGTGGCTCTCAAACTGGGCTGAAAGCTCAGTTCTGCAAATTTTAATGTTGCTACAACAAAGAGACCTCATAAAAGACAGCTTAATCCTTGGTTTCCTGCAGTCTTTTACAGAGGGGTCCCACTTCGATTTGAAACAGCATCTGCCAGTTATCTCTGGAGATGTTCAGAACAACTTTGGCAGTTGCCTGAGTTGTTTTACATCAAGAATGGTGCCAACCGAGTTCATGCTGTGTGACTGGTGTAATGTTTCAAGGGCTGAAGTATGCAGATTTCCAGGGAAAACTTTAATGTCTCCTTCATATTTCCTGCCAGGTTGTTCAGTGAATTCAACCTTCCCAGGTAACAATCTGTGGTTTGATTTTAAATCCTTCAAAATCTCAACCGAGTTTTCATTTGCTTGTTCTGCTCTGGGAGGAAAAAAATCATTTGTAATGTTTCTTATCATAGGACCGTTTAATTCTGGCAGAGGAGCATTAGCAGTCAGCTCTCTGCTGCGACTTTTCAGATGAGCAGGGAGTCCTTCATCAATTCGTTTGGATAATTGAGTCCAGTGGTTGAAGCCATCCGACACAGGGGTGCAGTTGTGCAGCGCGTTTTCACTTTTGTCAGTGCCACAGCTGCCACCTTGAACGTGCAGTTCCTCTTCATCCTCACTACTGTCGTTGCCCTGTATCAGTCCGTATCGTTTCATGTACTTCTTGGTGGCAAAGGACATATTGTTTGGTGAAATTAGGCTAAGGCCCACCATGCTCTTGTCCACATTTGCATGTGAGGCGTCTTGGAAAGAGAAATCGGGAGGAGGATTTGGGCCTGAGCGACTGAGAGAAAGTCTAGATAACTGATTTTCACTGAGATACTTGAGTGCTATAGCGTTTGCTTCCATGCTCAGATCAACTACGTTGGGAGTTAAGCCATACATGCTGACGTTGGCAAACGACATGTAATTTAGTCCAGGAATCACTGCTTCGGGATTTATGCATGCCAGGATGCTGAAATAAAGCAGCAAAAAGTTAGTTTAGCGTTACAGGAAAAGAAATATGCATTTCACAGTATAATCTGATCATTTCATTTTGCTCTCCGCATTGATTTCTCCTTCCTCCTGAGCACCACAGCTTGAGCAGGCTGCTCAGTGCTGAGGCCAGACATCCTGCATGTCCTGCAGAGCAGCTCTCCAGCCAGTCATGCTGACAGTGTTCAAACAGCGTCTTGGAGAACTGATGACATTCCCTTCTGATTCAATACTGACCACAGCCCTGCTACCAGGAAGAACCAACCTCTAACAGATTTCAGAGCTGATTGTTTTCTAAAGCAGATTTGAGCTATTGTCGACTTTCATCAGCAAATGAGAAATTACCAAATGCACCACCAGAAATCAGGCTATGGAGTTGTTTCTTTCTCTATTGAGCTGGAGACCTTTGCTCAGAATTATTTATCAACCATGAATGTGGCAGAAAGAAGAATCCCATCCCCTGCCCCAGCTTTGAAGAAAAAAAATCAAGAATTCTCATTTTGTCTTACAGGTTCACTTATCAGCATATTATGGACTAGAAGAACACCAACAAACTGCAGCCAAGAAGGAAGCAAAGAAATTCTGGAAAAGTATCTGATGAAATTAAAGTGAAAATGACAGAATAGAGCTCAGAAACTGTATGACTGGAAATAGCTTTTGATAAACAGCTGAAGAGAAGATTAATTAGGAGACTGAGTTTTGGTTTACCTAACACTTACACAATAGTATTAAGAAGACAATAAGGATGAAAGTAGAGGTGTATCAGGCAGTCAGCCCTATCCATAAGCAGCTACATGAACAAGACCCATGCCTCACACTTCTCCAGAAATGCAGCTCTTAATGATACATTTTAACTTTGGGTCAGCCCTGACATAGCCAGACACCTGGACTCAGTCTTGGTAGGTCTAGAAGTTACTACTCAACATAACCAGTATTTTACCTGGCATTCTCCACTTTGTGTGTATTTTTCTTCATTTTGCTGGGCGATTCAATTGTCACTCCAAGACTCCTCAGTTGCTTGAGCGTAGCGCTAATCACACTCTCTTTATCCACCACTCCCGTGTCAGCCTCCGAGTCCTGTTCTGTTGCATCATCACCACTCTGATACTTAGGACCATCATTAACAAATCCTGTTTTTACTGGCAAGTGATCTTGCTCTTCTGAGGACTTTAAGAGATGGTTTACTTGGCCCTAGAGAAAAAATGGGGCAGGGAAGGGACCACATTGCCAAAATTATCATGACATGCAGGAGTTGTCACGAAAGCAAACTGTTTTGTTCTTTTGTAATTTACTACACAACTAGATGGGCTAACAGCTTGTTTGACAGACAAGCCAAACTCAGATTCAGGTTTAGATGCGATCACATAAACTCACGTCAGTGTACAGGAACACCGTGCTACCTTACATTTCTGTAAGCTTTCTGTTAGAGTCTGTGCTGAATTTAAACATGACATTCTGCTTCAAGATTAAAGCCTCCATCCTTGAAGAGACTTGAGGGTAAAGTGCTGTGCTATTTTAAAGGGCGTTAATTGGGAAAAGTTAACTGATATAATCTTTTAACTACAGAATTATATATCAGGCAGTAGACAGTACTCCATGTATGCACAGAAGAATTCTGTTGCATTCAGATTTGAATATGAAATTTCAATGAATTACCAGCAAGTGCTGGTAGAGCTTCTGATCCTGCGATGGACACCGGGGCAACAAGGAGGTGGGTGGCTCCAGGTTTTGCTCACTTGTTACCACCACATGGTTGCTGGCTCCCTCTGTTGGCTCTTCCTGTAAGCACATGCTTGCACTTTCTTGCAAGGATGAATTGTGAATAAGTGCTTGGGAAACATTTTCATTTCTGAAAGAAACCATTGACATAAGCAGATATATTTCTTTGAAACAGAAAACAAAAGGCATCGCTACCGGTGCCTGTCTACGAATACCAGAAAAGGAGAAAACAGACCACTGGAGATAAAGTCTAATGTTTCTTGGTTGTCTTCTGCCTGAAACTTTGAAAGAAAATGACTGCAAAAAGGAGCAAAAGCCTTTTGAGGACTGAAGAAACACAGCCTGCAGGGTAAGACTACAGCAGCCTCAATAGTTTTTCAAATGATGATTTACAATCAGTATTGGCTTCTCGGGATTTGTTAAAACTCATTGTCACTGACTTACCCTTAAAGCAGATAAAATAAGTCATTAAAATTTTGGAGTTAGTCTTACATTTTCAATATCTTTATGGACACTTAAAGCCTTTATGAGTCATATTTTCCATATGTTCTGAAACATTACTAATTCAGAAGGTATCTTTTGTTACCATTTATTCACCTTGGTTTTAAAAAAAAGTCCTGTTGAAGTTTAAAGACCACATTGGAAGAACTTCTCAAAGAGTTCTAAGTACATACATACAGAATGCAGACCAAATATCATGAACTGAGAACAAACACTCCTAGTTGAAATGTTTCTCTATAACAACAAAAGTAAAAGAAATCATAATCTGCCCTGAAGTTTACAGATAAAAAGGGTAATATTCTAGAATGAGTTAAACGATGCTCTGCATCTGCTGCTGTCTGGTGTGTACATTGCATAAACCTTTTGAGACCAGACACATCAATAGTACTATCATCCCAAAGAGATCGTTAAGTGACCCTCCTTCCCCTTCCCGTCTCTTCTCAAGAGACAAGTGTAAGATAATGGAATTTCAGAACCTAAACGATCAATTGCCTGTGTTGAAAGTGATAAGATTTAAATCACGTGACATACTAGATAGTCAATGTAGGTTATCAGTTACTGTTATACTAACAATTATTTATCAGTCCCAAAAATGTCCCCCTCCTCTTCAAAGAAGTCTGAGTGATACTCTGTGTTCCTGCCATAAGACACTTAGAAAACAATTTCACAGATTTATGTACCCAAGTTGAAGAGAAACTTCAGATGGCATTTCTTTAAAATATGATATTGAAAACAGTGATTCGAATCAGTAACATCACTGGTAGTGTTACGTATTTGTAGATAATATTGTAATCAAGTACTATGAACATTTAAATTTTGGCCTAATTATCATCATCCATCTTTCCCAATATGATTATTTTAGAAACCTAATTTAACTGGAAGGATACTCCCCCTCCTTTGGCTTTTTATACTCAGGGAATATTAGATTATTAAGTGTCAAATTGTTGAGCTGTTCCCTGTGTGAAAATAACATCCATATAGATAACTAAAAATATTTCTAAATTAGACTGAGATTAGTTATTGCTACTTGAAGAATCTGACCTTAAAAATAATGTAGTTAATATCAATGAATGTGGCACTTGCATACGCAATGTAATTAGGTGCAAAATGTGGAGAAATTCAGAGGACATATCATAATCAGTCACATAATCATAAGCCTCTCAGAACGGAAATGGTTCTGAATGCTGAAAAGGAAAAATCACTGTAGGAAAGCAAATAACTACGGCAGTGTCCCCTTTCTGCTCAGGAGTTAAGGTAAGAAAGGGAATGCTGCCAGCAGCGTACGTGCTTTTCCAAGCTAAATGCTCTTGCCATCAGCTCTTGCTGATAGGTAAGCCAGCTAAATGTGTATGACTGATAAATACAAACTCTGAAGACAACTGTGTTTTGGCAAGCCGTACAATTCAAAGCATAATTAAAAACAAACTAACAAACAAACAAACAAAGAAGGGAAGGAACACAACTGAAGTCAGGTGACCATTTTCATAATTCTTGAAAAAGAATTATGAAAAATTACAAAAAGTAGTAACTTCTTCAAGGTAGTTCAGCTTAAGTGAACAGGAGATATTTCTGGTTACTTACTGGAGAGTATTCTGATTAGCTCCTTCTTCCACAAGATGAATACTGTCTACAAAGCTGGGCATGTCAACCACCTTTAAAGAAGAAGCAATACTTGTATTACTTGCATCTTGCTCAGCATTAATTGAAATGTTTATGTCTTCCTTAGAAATCTCTGCATCCTCTTTCTTTCCTTGTGGTATGGAGTCATCCTGTTTTTCTGAGGGTGCATCCCAAAATAAGCTAGCACCTAGAAGAGAAGAATAAGATTTTTACCCATTTAGGAAAGTCATTACTATCTTTTGAGACCGATTGGTTTCGTAAAGCTAGAGCAATAATTTGCTCACATTCAGGTTTTTTTCACCATTTCAAAACTGATTTAAGGTTTAGAACAGATAGGAGTTGCCAAAACGTTGTTCAAGTGCTACGTTACAAAGTATGCTCCCAAAACATACTTGAAGAAAATAAATGGTTGTATTGAAGTGTTTATTGTACTGCCCTTGAACCTGTTGGAAAATTTACCAAATTCCTACAATAACCAAGATTTTTCTATGGATTAAACAGGAACTGATACGTTAATATGTAACCTTACAGTTACACCTGCATAATTTGCTAAAATTAAAAAGAATGCAGTCTCCCCTCTACGCACAGACCTCCATGAATTACAGAAGGCATGCTATCAATATTGTATTTAATAGAACACCAGATAGGATAATAGTTACTGCTTTTCTAAATAGTGTATTAATAATAATAAAAAAGATGTGGATATTTTCTTACAACAAATCATAATTAAAAATATAAGACCTTGCTAAAGCTATTGGAAAAATAACTCCTCCAGTGATGGCAATCACAGTCTTTGCAGCCCAAAGACTAAAGTAACTCCAGCCCAAACTCACAAACACAAACAAACCAAACTTGGCTGGTTTTGGTATCTAGGCATACGTTTGTCAGCATTCAACATTTCTGCCATACATTCCCTTCTCTCTACAGACAAAATTACAGAAATATCCAGAAAAAGCAATGCCAGTCTGTTCTTAAGGAATAAAGTGTTACCTGTGCTCACAGCAATGCTCACACTTTTTCTCATGGGCAAAGCTGGTGAGGGTTGAGTTTCCATAGTAACAAGTTCCCCTTGCTTCTCAGGCTGCTGAGCATTGCTAGATGAGGCTGTTTCGGAGGAACAAGCCTGACGAGCCTGTGCTTCCAATAAGCGTTGGATCTGTAACAGTTATCAGAATGGTATCATTTGTACAGGAAAATATAGTAAAGAGGCAGAAATGAATTATTAAATTTGGATCCTCTAAGGTCTGGATTCAAATCCAGGATGTGTTGCCACAGAAGTCTGATTAACATCCCAGTTCTCAGCCGTGCATGCAGCATAAATCAAAACATCAATTTTGACACTGGCAGAGCTAACAAATAAGAGGTTTTATGCATGCTGGCAGAACTACACCAAGAAAACTTGACGAAAGCTTATTCATACCACACTTGTTGGAAGTATTTTCTGTCCCCTTCATTCATATACAAAGCCTATTGCTCACTTACCAGCCAAGCTTTTAATATGCCAACTGTCCCTACACCGTGTTAAACCAGCTATGTATTAAATCACAAATACAAGCACTTAAATTATAAAATTAGGGTTGCCCAGGCAATCTTTACTCCAGTATTTCTATCCACTGTTTGTTGATTAATTCACAACTCCAAAGTATTTATACCATACGGAGTGGTTTCCCTCCTTCATATTTCAAGAGCTTGATTTTACAAGCAGGAACTGTATCTATAGCAGATTTCAGCTTAAATTTTCTGGTTTAGGCAGGAAAAATATGTATTGCCTACAATTGTACTATTCCCATCAATTCATCACACCCTGCAGAAGTGTAACTCGAGGTAGGTACTTTCAAGGAACTTGACTTGGTATCAAAACAAAACTTAGTGAGTCCAGTAAAACCCAATTTTCCAGCCCAGCAACAAACACCTGATGAATCTTGCCAGTTTGCTGCAAACAGACTGTTAAAGTTTTCTAATCAAGAGTCTCAACAGCTCAGGAAGCTGTAGGCTTTAAAGGTGGGTGAAGTAACACATGACAATGTTCTGTGCTTCACCTGTATGCTTACGTTAATGCCAAAGTCTATAGTCTGTCTCTAGCCTGGATACACACACATATATATACACAAATTTTTAACATAGAAAAGCATATATATATATATATATATATATATAAAAGCATGAAAGCATGTATACATATATAAGTATTTATATAGAAGTCACATCAATTTGCATTATAAAAGTCTGCTGAAAGGGAAAGAAACCTTCATGTTTTGGAATTATGACAAAAATAAATACAAAGCTTAATTAGCAAAGTCAAAAGTTTCCATTGTTTTAAGTGACATCAATTAGCAGTGCTAATTCCACCTCCAAACCAGACGTGGTATGACGAGCTTTCTTGTCCTCATGAGAACAAACACTTAGTTTAATTCCTCTGGTAGGGAAACTATCAAAGCATAACCACCAAGAGGGCAGAGGAGAAGGCAGACATTTCAACAAACCTGGGCTTGAAGTAATTTGAGTTGTCTGTCTTGTTCTGTAAGAACCCTGTAAGCATCTGGAGATAGTCCCATCATCCCATTATCTGATCCTGCTTTAGAAGCAGGCGCGTGCAGGCATGGTGAGTGGGCTCCACAAAACTGTGGACTAGAAGGGCCTGCACTTGAAGGCGGTCTTATCCCATGCAACAAGCTATTTTCAAGAGAACAGTTCCCCATTTTCCCATGGCATCCCATGCTTATGGGGTTACTTGTGGTATATCCTGGATTGCAGCAAATATTTGGACAAATGATATTTTGATGGAGCACTGTACATGGATTTTGCTGAGCCATCTCTGACAGGACTTCTGCTCCATGCTTGGGGCTCATTTTACCAGTTCCTTGCCAGGAGTTTATTGGATTATATTGGACAGAAGCAGGAAACTGACAGTTGCATGCGCTGGTTGGACAGCAAGGTGGAACTTGAACTGGCATCTGCAGTTCTGGTGGCCTTCTGCAGCTCTGTGGTGGAAAAGCAGAGTTGTAGAGGACTGGCTGTGTAACAGCAGGAAGTTGCCTGGAACTGGACACTGAGGTTCTTCGAACTGGAGGCTCTCCCTGCTGTGCAGCTCCATCGGGATTTAATGCAAACCTTTGTGGTGGCCTTCTGGGTTGATGCTCAGATGCCTCTGGGGAAGGCCCACTACAAGGAGTCGAAGGAGAAGATCCAGAACTTTTTCTTGATTGAGGACAGGCATTCTTACAGTGCAACTGCTGCTGGAGTTGAGCTTGCTTGCCCCTGGAAGGCCTTGAAGGTGGAATTTTCTGATTCAAATGGTTTGGTAATTGCCTCAAAGAGGGATCTCCTACATTATCAGGCAAGTTTTGTTTGTCGTCAGAGTACTGGCTGGGGTAATACATAGATCCCAAGCACCATTTCTTTTTAATAGGCTGATGTAGCACTCGAGGTAGACTTTTAGCACTTGAAGTTCCCACAGGCTTAGGCAACTGTCCCGATTCCATGAAGCTCCCATCCAAAACAAGGGACAGTTCAGGAACTGAAGGAAAGATCTTGGTAACCTGAAGACAATTACACAAGCAAGTTTAAGACAACATTTTAAAGTGAGCTTTCTGCTCTTCACATGCAGAATTTTCCTAGTGTTTCTCCAAGACAGTTTTTCCATTTAGATCCAGTATTTGTCTGTTACTAGCTCCAAATCTACTGTATATGGAATACCTTTTTAAAGCTTAGAGAATCCAGATATAAGAAAAAAAGATCTCCAGGATAATTCTTATACAGCAGTACTGCTTTCTCATATCATAATAGCCATGTCTATGAAACAAAAGCTCTATATCAATCCGGAGTATGAATCCTTCCCCTTCCAGAGACAGGCTACATATTCCCTCTTATTATTGTTAGACCCAGTACGTAACAGACCGCATAAGGAGGTCAAGAAGGATGTGACAGTTGTGGATTATCAGATATGTTCTGTTGCAGGTATTTCATTATATTTGTACACACTTGAATTAAAAAAAAATAATAATAAAAAAACATTATATATGTTTTAACCCAGAAATATACAAGAAAGGGAGTTTGCAGCACCCTTCTTAACCTCAGACACCATGGCTATTCCATGTAATATTAGACAGAGTCCTTAATTAGAACCTACTATCTCTGTTCCCAAATGCTAGCATATGCAGGAATTGGTGCCTATAGCCCTGGCACAAAGGCAGGCTGACTAGCAACAGAGCTAAGACTCTCAGTCCACTTCAGTTTTGTTTTCCTCCTGCTAGCACTTTGAGATAGAAGCTTTACATTCTCTGACCCCCTTACAATGAGCTTCGCTGCTTGAAGTATCTTCTAAAATCTGAGATGCCCAGAGCAATTATTTATTTAGTTACCTGTTGACTCACTGGGTGTGGACTTGGAATGGGTCTTGGGGATAAATCCTCATCTTCCACACCAGAGTCGTGATCACTTGCAGACAGCTTACTAGGTGAACAGCCGTGGGGAGGACTAACAAACATCATTAGTCAAACAGAAATCTTTACTTGTCTGTTTTGGTAGCACTAATATGAATCTTCATGTTTGCCACTGTGCAGTCTACAGTGAAATACCAGCATCATTTTTTCCTAGAAATAGTTATACACCTCCCTGGTTAGCCAGGGAGTTCACATGGAAAACAGCTCTGGGACCAAGCAATGAAAATGCATTTGCTGCTTTTGGGCAATTAAAAAAAAAAAAAAAAAAAGATACTAATCCTCTCTCTCCACAGTATTTAAGTGACATTCTAACAGTGAAGCAGTGATTTATGTTAGAAAAACAGAAAGTAATAAAGCAAAGATTGTTTAAAGGAGATTGAAGGCTGTCTTACAGCCACAGATAACCAAAAATTTGATGGATAAGTCAGGTTATATATAAGTCCCAAAAATCTAAGTTTCAACCTATCTAGGTTTCAGCTCTGAAAAGTCAGAAGCAAAACTGAGTTTTTACCAACTTAAGTAGATTTCAGCTAGAGATTTGGATCAAAGGACATGGAAAACTTAATACAATGAAAATACTAAGCTCCATCAGTAAAGAAACATTTGTAGGAATATCTGCTGTATAAATTACAACTACTAGTAAGAAGAGTAGAACTATTAGTATTTTTCTCTGGCTATAGAGTCAGCTTAACCACCTTACTTGAACATAAACTCTATGAAAAAACACAAGCCCATTCAGATTTTAATGCAGGATCATCACTGTAGTCAGAGCTAGCCTGCCATCCTGCACAGCAGAGATCAAAAAATCTCATCTGAAAAATATCTGATTTTTGTGCACAGCTGACATCTGAAAGATTTACCTTCTAATAGGAAGTTTCTTGCAGATTCTGCTGAAGAACTCAGTTTCTGCGTTTTGGTTTTCTGCACTCAACTCAAACTGGATAGGGATCTTGTCCGAAGGTTCAACATTCTGAAATGGAATTTTATGTATTTGTGAAGCACGCAGATTTCAACTTTTGATTACTGAGGTACTGCTCCCAAAGACATAGTTTTAAGGAAGTTTATATCTGATTATTTGTTGCTTGGCCTTTACTTTCAATTCTCAGTTCTTTTACCACTACAAGGAGGCAGGCAGCTTCCCTTCCTGTTTAACGCTGTTCCCCCTGCTACTCTGTAAAGTAGTTGGCCTATTTATAGCCATGAGCAGATGCTTCCTTGCTGTAACTGCTTAGATGCTCTTCCACAAGCCTTTACCATCAGAAGAAACAGTAACTGTTCTATGCTGATTCACATACATCTAGGAAAATCCTGGAAACAACAGAAGCAAGGCTCTGTTACTGAAGTTTTGCCATCTGCAGAAAGCTTTTTCTGGAGAAAGCACACAGTAGAACAGCACAGGACACGTAACATTAACTGCTTTTCTACCAGAGCCCAGAAGCATGTACTGAGCAAATGAACAACTCAGCCTCAGGTTCTGCACACACCCAGGAAAACATTTTAAAAAAAAAACGATATTCCTAGGATTTCTGCAAACCTTTTAATTTTTCCCCAGACTCAGCATCCCATTCTTTCAAACGGTTACTTTGCAAAAAGATGGAATTGCTTCGTTACTGCATCACAGGAAGAGCTCTGCAGGTTAGCAGCCACTGAACTCCATTTTGCATTCTTAGCTTTGCTCTCCAGAAAGAAAATACAAACATGCATCACCCACAGCAGTCAGGAAGCATCCAGCACAGTATACCAAATTAACAAATGCTACAGGAAATCAGAATAAGAAAGAACACTAGCAAATTCCAACACAGCATGCTATTTTTTAAAAGACAGACTCTTAAATGCCACTGGAAAAGTGAGCAATTCCTGACTTGGGTGGTGCTCTCACTCTGAGACACAAATTACAATAAATCACTGGGAAAAAAATAATAATAAAAAAAAACAACCAACAAACCCACATCTAACTTTAAACAGCTACATCATTTTTAAATGCTGCAGTTTCATTTGGGTCACATTATAGTGACCCCTCCTTTAAGTACTTACACTAAAGTTGATTTTTTTAATCTACCATGATGCAGTAAGGAGCCAAGCCACTTACTTTAAAGAGGTGTACAGTTTCATTGCAAGTTAACAGCTGAAACCCTAATTCAGTCTGTCCACGGCATGGAACACACTCATAAAACTCTGGATCTTTGTGTGTCAATGAATAAAGCACAACGAGAAACCTCCCAGATTCTGAGAAAACCCTAAAACAGAAAAAAAAAGTACATATCTTAAAAAAATAAGAAACAGGAAGAAGACCATTAGGTTCTCAATATATTGGGCAAATAATCAAACAATTTATCAGTCTGGTGACTTACTGTATTTTGAGTGGTACTGAGCCATAGACAGAACACAGAGGGACTTACAACTGATGCCATATGCAAGAATCAAAGCAAAGTAGAGAAACAGTGAGAATAATTTTTATACTTTCTAGCTCAACCCTTCAGGATCACTTAGTACTTTAAATGAAATCCTAGAAGTCTTCAGTAATAGTATAGAAGAAAACATTATAAAAATTATAGTGGTTTTTTTTTTTTCATAATTCAATAGAAGAGATTATAAAGACACGTAGCATGCATCATTCCTCAGAATTCCAAAAATGCTCATCAATATTAAAAACAGATTTTTTAAAGAAAAGGTATACTGAAGGTGTTTTTTGTTTGGTGGGTTTTGGTTTTTATATGGATAGGGGACAGTGTGACACAGCAGTCAATATTAGCACAGAAGTAAGATCAAGGATAAAGAAAACAACGTGCATTTCCAGGAAAAAGGTACTGCTGCTTTCAGAACAATTTTATTTTATTCTGTCCAGTTCTATCTGGGATAGAGAAAGCAGTAAGAACAAGACACTCAAAACCCACATTCCCATACAACTTTAAAACGATTCTCACAACTTAAGAGTTAAAAATATATGATGTACAGATTGAACAGTTAGCCTACAGAGGTTAATTCTCTTTGCATGGTTCATCAAATCAACCTAATCCACTTCCAAGACTAGAATCAGTGAAAGTTAATGAGAGTCAAGCATCTAACTTGACTGCCAAATCTAATAATCTAATTGGGGTCTTATCTGCATTTGTGTGTCTTTAAATTGCTTAAGGAAAAAAGTCTATTCAGTAATTACAAACATCTGTTCACCAAATGTGTTTTCATTTTGTAATTTAAAAGCAAGTATGAATAACAGCATAAGAAATTCTTATGCATATACTGCATATTCCAAAGTTTAATTTACCAGAAGAACATTTTAAAACTATAAAGACCTGAACTCCCTCCTTCCAGCTTCCATATAAAATAGAACTTGGCCAATATTACAGGTGAAAAGATATAGAAAACGAGGGATGATTATTTACTAACATGACACTGAAGAAAAATCAGAATGCAAAAAACTACAAAAATAGACTACTTAGCAGGAAGTCATTACAAGACAGAACTAGCTGCAAATCTGTGTGCTTCAATGTGTTGGTTAGATACAAGCGGGGAGAAACCACATGCCAGAAAGCACCCATAAGAAAAGTTCAAAAAAACCTAACAGCTAAACACACCACTCCTTATGTAAGTGTTTCCTGCTTGCCAGATCTTATTTAAACTGAAGAATGCAGTGACCTTAATGACAGTAAATATTTACCTTCTTCTTTCTTTGGGATATTGGCCCAGCTCGCTAACGCTTCAGTTATAGTTTTCAAGAGATTTGAGGCAGAAGTCAAAACCAGGAAGAACAACTAAAAAAGACAGACCCACCTCCTATACAACACATACATCACAGAATTCCCCCAAATATCCTCGAATTTTTTATTTACCACACATTGCTGTGGGATACGTTTTTAGGCATCCCATAGTTTCTATGTTTTGTAGACAAGTGACTTGCCTTTCTTGAATTGAAGAACTGAATAAGTATCGCAGGCAGCATGCCCAAACTTGAGGACTACTGATATGAGTAACTCCACTCAGCCAACTACAAGTAAGAAGAAATATCCGATTAGAGACCGCTACATTAACAAGTTTCCACTACATATTCCCTCAAATACCACTCAAACCAGTTTGTGTATTAATATATTAATAGATATCTATCTATTTATTAACACACATCTATGTTTATGAATCTACACTTACACTCCAACTAATGGCAGAGCATATGCCTTCGGATCAGACTCAAGCAGCAAAAGTAGTTTTCTCGTCTGGTCCATAGTAAGGTAGCTGAAACAAAGCAGAAGTTGTGTTTTTTTTGTTGTTGTTTGTTTTATTATCATCACCATTAGTACTATTAATATTTTGGAAGTCAGTCTTTCAGAAAAATCCTGAAAAGAATGATGAAAGTTTAGAAAGTACTGCAAGAAGGAAGTCTGAGAAAAAAAAAATAAAAATCAAACCCATTCTTTCTCCATACTTACTGCTTTTCACTAATTCCCTGTGTCAATCAAAAAATTATCAAGCACATTTGCTTAATATTCTGGTAGTTACAATGAATCTAGAAGTGCAAGTCACATTAAATTTGAATAACTGTCAGGAAGGCATTCACAAGGTCTCTCACCAAATAAAATGGCATTCAGTTGCTTCAGATTATTTTCCTGCTCTATGCTTAGTTCATCCTATTAAAGCAGTTACCAGTCAGAATGACTATTCCCCAACACCATCTTTATAAGCACGGTTAACAGAAAGAGCTTTTGTTCACGTTCATCTGATATTCATTCTAGGGCCAGCACTGCTATCGTTACACAAGCTGGATGCTGTTTGTAGCAGTTTTGTTGACCAGACGTGCCTCAGCCTGCCCCAGCAGGAAGGTACTTCTACTGAGGTCAAAAGCAAGAGCTTCTAGTTGAATGACTTAAGGTTTTCACCTGATCCCATTTCCTGCTTGTTTATAATGTACTGTTTTTCTAGGTACCAGAAATCGTGTTCTTTTCATGTCAGTTACTTTATTAAAAAGCAAAGCACTGAGATGCCTCCTACCTTCCTCTTCTAAGGCATACAGGCCACTTAAGGAGTTTTAGCATCATCCTTTACTTACCCGCATTTATAAGTTCCTTGCACTTGTGCAATATTCATAGGACCATTCAAATTTCTTGCTAGGGCTGTGGGAATAATTGGGACAGATTTCACAGGGGTGTATTCCAAGATATTTGCTGCGGTAATAGAAGCCCAGTGAAAACTGAAATTTAGATTATCCAGGTTTTCTGTGAAAACAATGTGAGCTCTAACAGTCAGCAGTTTAGACAGGTCCAGTGAATCTTTACTGCACAGGCTGTGCTGCAGATCCTACAAGTAAAGGAAAGAAAAAAAGTTAAACTATACAAAGTTGTCTTCATATTACTACTACGATTCCATTTTTACTGCAGTAACAACTCAAATTATTCATTAGCCAGTGCTGCAGTAGGCACCGTATAAAAAAAGATAAGCCATGCCTCCAAAGCTCATGGCTATACTGAATATAATGAATAATAATGTAAAATATATTTGAAATTAAACACATCTTAAATGCATTTGCTAGCCTTGCTTTATAATATATTCAGAAACCTGGGGATACTTAAATTAATAAATTAACAGCAACTAGAAGGCTCAAAGTGGACCATTGAAGCTTTCCTATGTGCATTCAAGAAATTTATATTTTGACATGCGGATGTATCACCATGAGAAAACCAATGTAAAGTGCTATTTGTATGAAAAAATACATAGCTGAATGTATCACTGCAGTAACTACAGGCAAATGATTACAGAAATAGGTGTTTTTTTCTGGATTATTTATCCACAGAGCACAGAATAGTTTACACATTTCAGCTATACCTACCAGCCTACACAGCCTTTACAGGTTTTCTTGCAAGTCACTTGCTTAGCAATACTTTTAATGAACTTTAATGCAAATACCGCAACTCACTTGTGATAGATTTGAAAGAAAAAGCTGTTCTTGCTTGTTTAAATAAGTGTGCTTCTATCACAGTCATCTTGCTCTTTTTCATGGTCAGACCAGCTGAAAACTTCTGGTGAGACAGCAAGATTTTAGTCGAAGATAACAGAAAGCATAATCCCTGAACTTCTGTGAAGACCACTGATTCTGAGTAGTTTTCAGTGTGCTTTTCAGTGACACTCAACCAACTAAGTACTTTTCCTCCAGGCACTACTTTTCTAGTTTTGTTTTAAATTGGTGGGGTTGGAAATTAAGACCTGTACATAGTCCGATCTCCTGCCTAGATGGCAATTTATTAAGAAACCCAAAAGCTGCCAGCAGCTGCCTACCTTAAAAGCCAAGCTGATATCTTCAGCACTGTGGACTATAATGCTGCCTGAAGAAGGTCCCCAGGCATTAACTGTACACCGAATCAAAAAGTCTCCAGGAAGAGATGCAGTTGGAACTTTGCCCGATCCACCAGCAACTTCTCGGCCAGGATCAAAACGGTCTATTGTTAGCTTTATGCCTTCCCCATCTTGAAAATAAACAAAAAGAGTCCAAGAGCAACAACTCAGGCTCCTTGATAAAGGCTTATTCAACCGACTGCTATTGGCTGTCTACTTGATATTTAAAGTTACCTTCATCCACTGCAAGAGTCCCAAGTAAAAAACAGGCAAATAATTTCTTTTCACTCTGCTTAGCATGGCGATAGGCAAGTCGCAAGGTTTTCTCCATCAGAAATAATTTTGGATTTCTAAAGAGAGACAACAAGCAAGTTTAAAGCACAAATTTTTTTTTAACGTGCTTTATTGTGCTAGCTTACGGATCTTTTATCCTCCTTTAAAAAGAAAATATACAGAAGCAGCCCAAAGCTCTAAACAGCAAAAAGATAAAAGTTAGTAATACTGCATAAAATATTCATGGGATTTTATCTCTTGTTCTGTGCATCACCCCAATCATTCACATTCAAGAACACACTTTAACTAGAATAGATTCACAGAATGCTTTATACGATTATCTTAACAAAAATATTTTGGCTTGATTAATCCTGCAAACTAAGGTCAGAGTGGAAACATTTTTTTCCCCTGGAGAATAAATAACAAGAAGAGAGAAGAGCCTTTTCAGCTGAAGAGCAACATTGTTATAGAACTAAGATGCATGCTAGTGAATTATTTTAATATAAGGTGTACAAGTTAGAAACATTAAGGCTAAAACACAGAATTCAAGTTTCATAAATCTAGAGAGTAAATAAACCACAAAGTTTAACTAAGTTTGACAGGGTGCCCTATCATTTTAGCCCTGCATTAAATGCGGATTTAAAACCTACAGCAGCCTGAGCTCAAAGCCACAACAATGTCAGGAGAAGAATTATGTAACTTATAAAATCACATAATATCATTAAAAAAAGGTAAAATGCTAAAAAGTTTGGAATTTGGGTTAGTAAGTACATCAACATTATTTAGCTCATCATAGCTTATCTGATATTGACTTGGAGAAAGTTCAAAGAGAAGCTACTGATTTATGTGAACACTGTGAAGATGACTCATATCCTCTTATCAAGATTAGAGAAGTGCCTTCATAAAAATTAAAGTAATTAATTTTAAACTTGGCTAAAACTTGGTGATTTAAATTTAAACTCACAAAGCACTATGTGGAAAGGAGATGTGGAAGCTGCTCTGACCTGTGTGTAAGGGATGCCCACCTCTTTACCACGATTACCCATATATGAAGTAAATGGGTTATATCCTTCTCCTGTCACAATGACCTTCATATACTTGCGTGAATATTGAAGATCTTGCTGTAGATATATCTGTATGAAAATTGTCCTAAGTAATAAAGATCAATTTTTGCTCTCTGTTAATTTTAAAAGTCAGGTTTGGAATATCCCGCCCTACAAGTTCACAAGTGCTTCAAGATGTTCCTCCAGACTCATTCTAACAATAAATAAATAAATAAATAAATAAATAAATAAATAAATAAATAAAAACTTTTGGTATTTGAACCCTGATTTCTGAAGCAAGCAAAAGAGCTTCAAGTTTTACTTGAAGCATGCTATCTACATTCAGTTTGCCAAAAAAAAAAAAATACTTTCCTTTGGATACTTAGAGATAAGGAAAAGCAGGTTAAAGAAAGCTACAAGCACGCAGTTACTTCTGCACCTTTCCATGTAGGAAGCGAACCGAACGCAATTGTAGTTTAGACGAAGGTACCTCCAACCCACCTGACTGCAATTACCCCACAGAAAGAGAAACTTCTTAAACCCTTAACTCTTTTCAATGAAAAACCCTATATGCTTATTGCAAACACACCGGTTGGTTCTTTCTCCTTTGTGTTTTTTATACACTATATACAGAAGATAACGAAGCTTTGAATCGCGTAATTCTCACGTCAGCCACCAGCTGCCTAAAAAGGCCTCTCCGTACCTGTAGTAGGCGATGTGCGACCCCACGGCCTCACCCATGGGCGCCGGGTCCCAGAGCGCGCACCTGGCCAGCGGGAAGCTGAAGGGAACCATCCTGAGACAGCGCTGGGAAGACGGCAAAGAGACAAAGTAAAGCGCCGAGTTCAGCCCCACGTTCAATTAGCGTTTTTCAGAAGGAGCAAAGGAATAATTAGTTAAGGAAAAACACCGAATTGTTGCCCCGGAGCCCCCCGTTTCCCCGTGGGCTCCCCTCGTTACCTGCGGGCCGGGGTCCGCCGCCGGCCCTGAGGGCGCTGCCTGAGGGGAGCCGCCGCCGCCGCCGCTCCCGCCGCTCGCCCCGCGCCCGCCGCCAGCCAATGGGAAGGCACAACCGGCCGCGCTCCCGCCCCCTCCGCCCTCCGCCAGCCAATGGGCGGCGCCGCCTCCCTCCACATCGCGGCGCGCCCCCTCCCCGCCGGAGCCAACCGCCAGCGCGCGCGCGCAGGGCGGGGGGGATTTAAAAACGGGCGAAGAAACGGTCGGGGAAGGGGGCGCGCGCATGCGCACTGCGGCGCGGCGGAGTTGCCATGGCGACGGGCGCCATGTTGGGGGCCGGGCCTGGCGGAGCGCGGCCTGCTGCCCCCACCGGCGGCTACCGGCAGCTCGGGCCGCGCGGGGCACGCCGGGTGCTGCGGGGCGCTGAGGCGCCCGGAAGCGCTTTCCCCGCGGCGGGGCCACCTCAGCGCCGGCTCCGCCTCAGCCTCGCACCGCCCGCCAGCCGCCCTCAGCCGCCCCCGGTCTCGGCTGCTGCCGCCGCCGCCGCTCTCCGCTCGGTCGCCGCCCCGCCGCCGCCGCTGTCCTGCTGCTGCTCCGCCGCCGCCGCCTCCTCCTCCTCATGAAGCCCGTCGTCGTCTTCGTCCTCGGCGGGCCCGGGGCGGGCAAGGGGACGCAGTGCGCTCGCATCGTCGAGGTGAGGGCGGTGGGCTCTGGGGGAGGGGGGAACTACATTTCCCAGCGTGCCCCGCGGCACGGCTGCGGGGGGCTCCTGCGGGCGAGGCCGCGGGGCACGCTGGGGGTTGTAGGCTGCACCCCCCCCCCCCCCATTCCTGAGGGCGGGCTGGGCTGGGTGCTGGGGCCGGGGCTGTGGTGCTGGGCACGGCCCGGCCGGCGGGGAGACGTGGCAGGGGCTGGCCGTTTGGCCCTCTGCCACCTCGGGTAGCGCCCACGGTTGAAATTTGGCTCAGGTGCTATGCTATGGTAGAGGTCAGAACGTGTCCTGGCCCCCCAGGAGCTAACCTCGTCTCCTCTTATTTCAAAGAGCCCCAGGCTGGTGGCACAGCATGACGAGGCGTTCGGCTCTGCTCTTCACGTTTCTCTTCTTCCAAATGCATTTTTACAGTCCTTTGAGGTAGAACAGATGCTGAAGAGGAAAGGGTGACTCTTGCACAGTGCAATATTCTCCGCCTAAAAAACAAACAATCAGATTGTAATTACGTAGTGCTCAGGTGGGTAATTACAGAAGTAGTTGATGCTTCCAGACGTGCGTGTTGGCTTTGAGATATTTTTGTTCCCTGAGCACATGCATTTTATTTTTTTTTTCATGGAAAGCCTCGAAGGATCAAGGTCTATCCGTGCCCCAAAGAAAAACAATGACAGAACTGTAGTAATGCCCGTATTTCTGAATCTGCTGATTGTGGAGGGAAAAAGGACAAAGCACCCAACCAAAAATCCCAGCACAGGCACATTTAATGTGTCTTCAGTTCTGGCGATGCCCTGGCAGTGCTGTTGCAGTTTCTGTGTGCTGCCATCACATCCCAGTCCTTGGTACCTATAACTGTGTTAGGCAAATTTGGTGCAGACTGAAAAATGCCATTCAGACTTCAGTTCTGAAGGATTTTAACCTCAAATTATGGACTCTTCAAGCTGGCTTATTCCTTAAATTAAGCGGTGGGATGAAAGGTTTGTAGCGCTCATAAAGCCGTTTTGGTAAGGTCAAATTCAGTCCCTGGAACGTAGCAAACAAATGAGCTTAAACTGTAGGGAAATTTTTTAGGCTGTCATTAATGGCTTTCGCCAAACCATTAGCATAGCCTCAGGGCTGAAGAACCTCCTGTGGCTGCTGCCCTGTGTTCAGAAGTATGAATGCCTCTGGCTTGATAGGCTACGCTAATTGGATAAAGACCACTTCAGGAGGAAGGATTCAAATGAATCACTGCTACCCTAATTGTAGTCGCAGCTAAAAACGGAAAACTAACTTTGCTTGTACTGTATTTATTTTCTTTCTAAGCCTAGAAAGAGAAGCCCAAAAGCTAATAAATGGGAACTTGCTTTAATTCTGCTAATCCTGTTTGCTGCGTGGAAAGAAGTTACTGACGGCCTGTGCAGTGGGCTGACTGCAGGAAGCACAAGGGGCTGCTGACAGCAGTGTCTGGCTCTCCCACTCCCTTGGGCAACTCTGCGGGAGTTGCTGGCTAAGCCTTGAGGGAGGGAAGGTCTGGGGTGGCTCCAGTGAGGGCTGGGCTTGGGGGAGTCTGCTGGAAAACTTCAGAAAGAGAGAGCATGAACAGGGAAGTATGGATGAAATGCAATCAAGGCTCTGTTGAGCACCAGATTTTTTTAAGCTCACACCATTGGCCTGGCCCTCACAGCCCCCCAGAGAGCCCTAATGCAGGCAGTTGAATGGCCTTTATGCACTCAGTGCTGCCTTCAGGTTGAAAGTGTATTTTTGTTTGGATTTTAAACCCCGTTGGCAGCTTGCCGCAGAGAAAAGGGGCTGCAGCTAAGTAATAATAAACCTCATTCATCTTTGTTGTATAAATGGGCTGATTAATATTAGTTTATGTTAGGAACGAATCCGATCCCGTATCTTGCTCTAAACCTGGAGTTTGTGCTCAACAAAAAGTCAGTATGAACTATAAATACTTCTCAGTTGCTGTACATGCTGGAGATGTGGGACGGAGCACGTCACGTGGAGAGGCCTCTCTCTGCTGAGGTGTGACCCCATATGATTTTTAGCTTCAAATGACTTTATTCAAAACCACAAGCTCCTGTAGGTGGTTTGTGGAGCTGGCATTAAGTACTACCTGGGAACAATTTCTCAAAAAGTGTTGTAATTGCTTTGCTGACTGTGTTTCTCCCTCCCAGAGAAGGGAGATAGCCATCAGTCATTACAGGTAAGATGTGGATTTCCTAAGTACCAGCCTGCATCGTGGCTGTTCAGATCGCAGCCCCTCATTACGGACCGGGCGTGTATTTGTATCAAGTTTGGACTAAAACGGGGAAGTGATTTGAGGGAAGAATTTGTAATAGCAAGTGAAAATGGGTATTGACACAGTGTACAAAAGAGAGCAGCAGGTAAGTGATTAGGTTTCTTTATCTTTGCAGATAAGGTTTGAAGAGACAGCTGAAGGAGGCTGGTTTCCTCTGATACGGAGGGGAGACTTGTGCGTGTATTCCCTAGGCTCACAGAATTGTCACTGAAATGTAAATTCAGTAGAAATGCTGCTCTATTCCTCCTATTTGGGAGGGGATGAAGCAGAATTCCCTCTTAAGTGCCTGCTCTCTCCCCGCCCTGCAGATTAACTCCCACAGCCTTCCACGGCTGCCTGAGGTAGCGTTCAGCATCGCTGGGATGTTGCAGGGCTCTCTGTGGGGCAGCTGTTGGAGCAGGTAGATGAAGGCATCTGAGTGCATGTTCTTGAGATGTAACCTTCATACTTTCCACAGCGTTTATCTTTTGTGATTGCGAGGTCATTATGTGTATATAGGACAAAATGAATGTTTTATTACTGACTTTTGAACTTTGCTAATGAAGTAGTTATGGTACAGTCAAGGAAAAAATACCTAATTCCTCAAATCTGCACAAAATATGATTTCATTAACTTAAACTTTAAATTTTTACAACCTTTGCCTGAAACACAAAGATCCTTTGGGAGAGGGGAAAAAAGAATAACTAAATAATCTGTCTTAATTTCAAGCAAGATGTCAGCTGTTTTTGTTGTTGTCTCTTTGTTTTTTTGGCAAGGTGACTCTGCAGGGATTTGGGGTATGCAAAACACCCCTCTGTGCATACGCCAAATGTAATTAATTCCCACCGCAGCCCTAAGCTGGATATTTGTGTTTAAAATTCAGCCCACAAGGTGGGATGCTGAGCCTCTTCTTTCTGCAAGATCGTAAATTAGAATCCAAGGGGGAAAAGGTGCTAAGTTGTTTTGGGATGTGTGATAGAGATTCTCTGGGGAGAAGAAAACTGCAAAGAAGAAGGCAGTGTATCAGAAACTTCCTCTGGAAGCAGCAGTAGCAGATTTAGTTTTTTGCTGTCATGTGTTAATTGTCCTCTGGAAGTCTGCAGAGAGACAGCGGTAACTTTCTTGAAATAAAATCGTTTTCAAAGTTGTTTGCTCTAAACTCAGTTTTTAAAATCCCTTCCAAGAGTGCCACGTACTGGTAGTCCAGTTAGCTCCGAGTTCTCATGATTGTTTGCTGGAATGTCAGTTCATATTTCTGAACCGTGGCGCTGTTGTGAAACATGGTGAGAGATCATTTAACCCCCCTCAAAAAAAAAAAAAATCCCTATATGCTTCCATTTTACAGAACCCAGGCTCGCTCGCTGGGCATTGAATTTAGGACTTTCCCAGCCATCCTGGGTGTCTTTTGTTCAGCTCTGCGTTCCTGAAGCACTGGGGTGTTCTGTTTGCCCCCCACTTCCCCAGAGGCGCTATCAGTGGGATCTCCTTTGTGTGTTTTGTTTTTATTAGTGTGGGTTTTGTGCTTTTTGTTTTGTTTTGCCTTGTGTTTTGTTTTGTTTTCCCCCAGAAGCAAGAATATATCTCTAGCTAGGGAAATCTTTTTTTAATTTTTTTACTGGAATATGCAGACAGAAGGGCTGCTACTGCATGATGATTTATACCTCAAAGTTCTGTTTCTATGTGTAGATTGCCAACGGGGCAGACAAGACTTTTTTAGGTTTAAGCAAAACAAACAAACCCCAAACCCCACACCATGAAGGCTGCATGCTTTACACGGTTCTATTTTTATTTCTTTACTAGCTCTTGAAGAGGCTATCTGAGAAAATGGGCAACCTTACGAAGCAACTGAAAGTTGCCAGAAGATATGACAGGCCAGAACTAGGGCAATAAAAGTTTGGTTTTTATTTGTTCAGCCCTTTGACTTTCATTTGCAGATTAACAACGATAAGCCAAGATAGGATTCAAGGTCAGAGCAGTAATTTGTGTTGCTCTAGCTTCTTTCTTGGCTTCTGCGCACTCAAGGAACTTCCAAACTGTGTAGCAGAGAGGTGTGCTGCTGGACCACACGGGGCTGAATCAGAAGCAAACCTCGTGCTCCGTGAAAGCTCCAGCATGGGGTCCCAGCAGCAGCTGATCCACGCTCCTGGTTCCTTCTTACTATGCTGAGGGAGCGGCCAGGCTGAGCTCTGCCACGTTCAGGTGTGTCACGGATACGAGCCCTCTGCTCTCGTTTGCAGTTCATGTGAATCTACTCGCCTTTCAGCAAACACAACGTAAGGCTTGTGCTGGCTGCAGGCGGATGTTGCAGATCCTGGCTGGCAGATGACAGATCAAGTGGCAGTGGTACAGGGAAGAGAAGGGCGTTCTGGAGAGGCAGCAGGCTTGGGGTTTCATTTGGAGATGTGGCACATCCAGATTGTGCGTCCCAGTTCGCCCTGCTGAGTGGAGCCTGATTTCCCAAGCCTTTGTGCGATGAACAAGCAAGCTGTGCTTCGCTCTCTTGCAGAGCACTGTTAAGGGCTGTTCTAAGTAACACCTCTCAGGTGGGATTGCTAGAAACTTGAACTTGCCTTTCCACTTCAGTCTGCTTTTCGAAAGCAAGGGAGGAAGGTATCTACACTGAAAACAGATTTTCTGTTAGAGACTGGGGTCATGGTTCTCCAAATGTGAAAACAGTTTTGAAAACAATGAGAGCAGCTTATATGGTAGCTCTTTGATGATTTCTTCTTTTTTTTTTTTTCTTCTAGAAGGGCGTGCCTGTTAGCTAGCATAGTGGAAAACATTATCTATGAAATGTTTTAGAATAGTGAATTGTTTATTTTCCAAGGTCTAGAAGTCTGTCCAGATCTTAGGTGCATGGCATCCAAGTATTTTATTTTTTTGTTTGTTTAACCTGGTTGCTATTTTAAGCCGACCTTTCAGCCGTCAGCTAATGTTATGGATCTACTCTAAAAGAATGTATGCATTCTTCTGGGAGAATTGGAGGAACTGCTTTTTCATTGTTTGGAAGTCACAGCCCTCTCTTTCTGATTTCAGAGAAGTGGTTGCAACAGGTTCCATCCTGGGGATTGCATCGCGATGGGCTTGGCGCTGCTGGAAAGTGCTGGCACAATGTGAACTTGCAAGGCGTGAGAGCATTTAGCCTGGTGGTGCAGTAACATTACAGTCTCTTTTGCGAGCTCTTGGGGAAAGTTAAAGTTTTGTCTGCTTCAGGACACTTGCTGAGGGTTTGTCTCGCCAAAGATGAAAGAAAACTTTGTGTCCTGGGCACATGGCTTGATTAAAACTGGCAAGAGCAGCATGAGCACCACGTCCCTGCAGCCTGCTGCGTATAGACTCGCAGTCAGGCCTTTCTCTGTGCTTGTTTGTGTTGTTTAAACTGACATGTTGTCTTTGGCTCTTGCGCTCAGAGCAGTTAACAAATAGATGTTTTGCCACTGAAGGAGAAGTTTGTTTTCCTTATTGCCTGGTTAATCCGTTCTGAAGGTTACTCCAGAAGACAATTTACTATTATCTAAAACAACTCTATTTATACAGCAGCACTTTAAAACACTTCTATCTTTTACTTTCCCGTTCAGCCGTTAAAAAATAATTTAGTTTGCTGCTGCAAAGGACAGAGAATTCCAAAAATTGTCTGACTCAAGTTTCTTTTCATGCATGAAAAGGGACATGCCAAGGAAAATTAAATGGTTTGGTAATCCTCTAAAACAGAAGGGATTATATTTTTCCTCCTGTTTTCTTCTTCGTAGAAACTTAATGTGAAAAACATCATCGTTCTTTACTTCACCAAGGACTGCATGTTAATTTGGGGTTCAGCAGAGTAAGGTTTCGTGCTTAAGAGAAAAGATTTACTTGGGTTTACGGCTTCTGTAGTCCATAGTTAATATGTAGATTTGCAGTTAAATAGGCATGTCCAAATGCAATGCACATGAAAGCAGGAGTACAGAGAGCTTACAGAAGATATTTGTGGAGGTTTTTGTTCACAGTTACTTAAAGCAAAATCTTGTTTCCTTTTCTTTCCAGATGTGTAGAGTTTTGGAGATTTAGGTAATTATATCCCTTCTTAAATTATGACTATGCAGAACTAACTTTCCACGCTTTTGTGGGTGAAATTGGAAAGCAACTGAAATGTTTTTAAAGCCACTTAGTGGGTTGTGTAATATTTCTGTTGTACTTAGTCCAGTAGCCAAGTTTTTAAATCCCAAGTTCACAGCCTGAAAAAGCATTTAGGCACATTATTATGCTGCTCAGGCACCATTTTTGAAATTTGCTTCAGATGTTGCTGCAGCCGAGCTGATAACCCTGAAGTAATTTGCTGCTGCTTTTGTTTTGTAGCAAAAACTTCAGGATAAGTATGTATAGGTGTACTCTGTCTTGGGTGTATAGATAGCTTAGGTAATCGCCCAGGAGGTGTCTTTATTGCCCGTTTAGCTTAAGCATTCGTTAAAGAGATGTCTTTACATCTGTTTTTAAGGACTATATTTGTTCAAGGAGTACACTTGGTTAGTTTTCTTCTGATGCTAAATGAGCTGAGCAAGTGATTGTTTTGTGATCTGAATTTTCCCTTATAACAACACGTTTCTCTTTGGTAAGATCTCCCATGGACTGATTAATCTGCTCACAGCCCACATCTGAGCCTCCCACAAGGGCAGCCCTCTGAGTTTTGATCACCTCCTTCCTGGGGAAGGACGAACACAGGGCAGGTGTGCAGGGCTGGGTTTGGAGCAGCGTGTGGGCAGGACTGTTTGCTGGCAGCAGTGCTTTCTGTTGGTTCAAGGCATCTGTGCACCTGCACCCTTAGATGCAGTTATAAGTGATGCGACCAAGACAGAGGAGGAAGTTGCTGTCAGACCTACAACTAGAAAATAAGGACGCTGCTGTGCTTAAAGCATGCCTCCAGCTGCAAAGAAGCAGGAATTGGTTTATGTGCTTTTTTTTTTTTTTTTGATTTACCCGTTGTGTAAACCTAGCAGTGAAAGACAGTCTTAAAATTTTGAAAAGGCCATCAGTCAGTAGGTCAAATCTGGCTTTATCATGTGGAGAAGTGAGGTACTGGAATTGTGTTGGATGAGGTGTAGCTTCTATCAAGTTTGGTGCTTGTTAAATGTCTCATGCACAGTGTAATGTTTCAAGAAGTGCCTCGGGCACTTTGAGACTTTCTCATTTCCAAATGGGACATTACCTTTGAAAACAGGATGCGAATATCTGACCAAGGCCATGTGAACCATTTAGCCCAAGAATCTCTCTTGCTGTGCTTTCAGTGCGTCCTGAAGATGGAACAGATCTGCCACTAGCAAGCTGCTATTTCTGATATTTTTCTGTTGTAGTACAAGGATAAATGTCACTGATAGTGTTGACTGATGTAACCTTGCATGTGTACTAATTCAAGGGCATCTGCCTGTTTTTTGCATGTTTCAGAAATACGGCTACACGCACCTTTCTGCTGGCGACCTCCTTCGAGATGAACGAAAAAGGCCGGGCTCACAGTATGGAGAACTCATTGAGAACTACATTAAGGAGGGAGAAATCGTACCAGTTGAAATAACAATCAGCTTGTTGAAGAGGGTGAGGAAAGGGCTATTTCCTTTCTAGCTCACTCTTGCAGACTAAGTGACAAAGCAGTGGCAGTGTTCTTCAAGAACTGCCTGTTTTCCAATGTAGTATGAGCTGTATGGAATAGCAGACACAGGTGCACACTGCATGCTGTGCTTCTCTCAGCAATTAGTCATGCTGCTGGCTGGGAGGCAGTGGGTGATGGCCTCTGATACCTAGGGATCTGTGAGAATTTAAATTTTTCTTTTTGTGTTCTTCTAGGGAAACAAATGAAATTGTGTATTTCTCACTTCCCTTAGCACGCTGTAGGGCTTAGTGGTCAGATCAGTCATGTGAGAGTGTAGGGTGAAGGCATTAAAATTATTAAGTTTTTGTAAGTTTTAACAAAATAGACAGCCAGGTGAAGGAAAGGGGAAGAGCACCTGCTAATGTTCCTATGGAAGGAGAAACTCCAGTGTTCATCCTTATTTAGATGTCCAGGAAAATAATCAGAGCATCTCCTTTGTGACAGAAAAAGCTTCTGTTGCTCATGCAACTAATTTTCTCTGGAGTTTTTTCCATTAGACTTAATTCTAGACCAGGGACAGTTTGGCATCTTACACTGGTATGTGCTGTTACACAATATTGCAGAATATAACAAACAAGCCCAGCTTTAAAAGTTTGAGATACTGAGCTTTATGAAATGGTGCATTCAGTTCAAGAGGAGGCTCTATTGTTGCATCAGTGAAATAAATAGAACACATTGAAGGTGACACACACAAAAAAAAAAAACCACTCTGTAAATCTGCAATAACTCTAAGAGAAATACTTATTAATTTGCCATATGAACACTTTGGGGGTGATTGAGTAAGTTGCTAGATAATTGCATGTGCAGGGGATCTTGAATTGAATTCTCTTCTGGCAGGCTATGGATCAAACAATGGCTGCTAATTCCCAGAAGAACAAGTTCTTGATTGATGGATTTCCCAGAAATGAAGATAATCTTCAAGGCTGGAATAAGACTATGGATGGAAAGGCGGATGTTTCTTTTGTTCTGTTTTTTGATTGCGACAACGAGGTAATGAAGTGTGTTAGCCTAACTTCTTTTCTTGCTGTATTGTGAGATTCACTGCAGAACGATAAAACTCAGTTGGGTAGTGAATCTTTCAATATCAAGGGACTGGTGTTGGAGTAGAAGGAAAACTTGATTTGTGAGTTTCAGGCATTTTGGCAACTTGTTTCTGCAGATGAAGAACTGCAGGCTTTTGCAATAGCAAGTGAGTAATTACACTTGGTACAATCGTCTGCAAATAAATTTTACTGAAGAAGCACTTCAAAGAATTGCATTCTGGAGCGTTTATAAAAGCTTTAAATGTATTAAACAATCATTTGATTCATGTTCAAAAAACATTGCTCTGTTTACTCTTAAAGATTTCAGTCTACTTGTTTGGTAGCAATGTTTGCTTTAATTCTAAAGTGCTGACAGCGTAAGTCTTAATTTTCATAGTTGTGAGCTGTGCTGTAGGATACTTCATAATCAAAATTGTATTCAGCAAGTCATTAATTATAAGGGCTTTTTGACAATGATACATTATATTAATTAAACAAATGCCATGATGTGCTGTCTCTTTAATATGACAGTGCCCTTGAGGGATTAAAAACTGATAGTAAAATAACATCTTAATCTGGCTTTCTCCCTTTCCCCCAATTTTCTAAGAAATGTTGCTATTTTTTTCTTAATTGCAATGTTTTTTAGTCTCAACAAGTGTGGGTCTATTTTTCTGCTTAATAAAGAAAATAAAAGGTTAAGTGAAAACTTTCACTGGGGGTGTGTTGATTTTGAGATTCTAATTTTTACTATAGATGTACTTTGTAGGAAAAAAAAAATCACCTAACTGTTGTCCTCTTGCATGCGTAAGGTAAATATACTCATGAGGTATACACGTGTCAGCATTGCTTACTTTACTTTAGGCTTCAAAACTAACAGTTCAACGGGCAGCCTTTGAGTATGGTTTTATAATTTTTACTGAGACTTTGCTTTTTAAATCTTCTTATGGCAATGCCAAGTAAAAATAGTATAACTTTGAATAAATTAACGTGTCGTCTTACTTAAATTCTTGAGACAACACACTGACTCTTTTTCAGTGTAAGCATATATTGGTAGTCTAGTCTGACATTGTGCTTTTCAGATCAGAACACATCCATGAAAATCAGATATTTTCTTCTTTAAATGTCTCAAGTTGGAGTCTTATTCACACCACAGAACTTGATGTTGCTTTTGCTTCCACTGACCCTAATTCCATTTTAAGAACTCGCATCTTAATAAACTGGTGAAATGTAAAGCTGTCAAAGCTGTCATCCTTTTTCTGTGGAATAATCTTAACTCCCTATGTGATATCTGGCTTACATACATCTGATCCGGACAATATTTTGTATGTCTGGACTATCTAGATTTGTTACTAATTCATAATTTATTTTGTTTTGCTCCTGCTTTTCAGGTAAGCACATTGTGTTTGCGGTTATGATCATCCTTTTGATGTCTTTTGTAGATATGTATTGGTCGCTGTCTTGAAAGAGGCAAGAGCAGTGGTAGAAGTGATGATAATCGGGAGAGTCTGGAAAAAAGGTACTATATCCAAAACTTTTCAGTTCTCTTCTGTTTTAATGTTATTATGTAAATAAATGCATTCTTTGCTTTCTCCTAGAATTCATACATATCTGCAGTCTACTAAGCCTATAATAGACTTATATGAGAGAATGGGAAAAGTCAGAAAAGTGGATGCCTCTAAATCTGTTGATGAAGTAAGTATGTAAGCCTGAAAACATGGGGATGGCAGTGGGCGGACTACATATTTATGGCATTCTTCTTGTTTGTATGTATGGTCAGTGAAGCTAATTAGGCAGTGATTTCTGAATGAGTTTATTACTGAAGGAGGTTGTGGAACTTTCATTTTGACTTGTAAAGAACTAATTGAGATAGGAATAACCAAGAAATCAATTTGTTCTGCTTGAACATGAGCCGGACTAAAAAGATTTTTATTGTTTCTGTGTTCAACAGTTTCTTGGCTTTTTCACTTTCATGAGATCTCGCTTTTCTGAAATATTTATTATTGTTCTTATGTCCCGCTTTCCCAGTGTTGGTGCCAATTTTTCTATTGAAGAATCACTATGAAAATTCTAAGAAAAACATCTTTAAATACTATCAATTATTGTGTGCTGGATTAACTTGAAGTGACTGTTTACCTAACACTTCATAAAATTAATAACGTTTTCATCTCTCTCTTTTTAGGTTTTTGAAAAAGTTGTACAAATTTTTGACAAAGAAGGCTAATTCCCAGCTTGAAAGTTCGTTTAAACTTGTGCTTGAATCTTGCTTGAATAGCTGCTACTGCAGTCCACTCTTTGTAATTGTTTTAAAAGGTTTTTTATTGTTTTTCACATATTGATTGATGATTGAAAAAGCAGTTAATTACAAACGTATCTGTTTTTTTTGATAGGAAATAATTTCTTGTGGCTAAAGTATACAAGTTTCAGGGTTCTCCATTAGTATGAGTTCAGTTGCTCATGTGGCAAAATCAGTTAAAACACATCTCTGAAGAGACTATACTGTCACAGTTCTGTGCCTGTCATGGGTGGCCCTTCTTTGTTGTCATGCACCTGTCTTAAGGATCAACTAAACAACAACATTAAGCAATGAGGGACCTGTGTGCCCATGTTTGTCTTTCGGATGTTTGGACCAATTTGAGGAAACATTTTTTTCAGAGTATAATTTTTGTCACAGAGTTCCCTGTTGCCCCCAAACGTGTATTCTGTAAGTAAAACTACAGTTAGTATGAGAATCTGTTTTAGCAGTTCTCACAAAACTATTTAATATGCTGTTCAGCAATAGACATACAAAGTAGTTTATGGAAAATGGTGCTGTCTTATGATTCTGGGTGTAAACTGTCTTGTAAGTTCCTGACTATCTGGATAACACGACCCTGGGCTTTGCCTTGTCTTCGTTTCCAAAAAGTTGAGAATATCATTTCAAAGTCAGGTCAGTTTTCCATTCTCATTTGCTTTGAATGATAGTTTAGTTCTTAATTATGGCATGACCTTCACAAGGTGTGAAACTCTTAAATAGTGTACATTAAGCAAAATCTTCTAATAGTTCTGTCTTTTGTAACAAGTGGAAGGGATTTCCTGTATTATAATTACTGAAATACTGTGTTACTGAATGCTTTGAGGTTTATTACTTGGGGAAATATTTTTATGGTTAAACTTATAAATTTGTTTCCCTAAAAGTATATAATTTTAATAGTTGCTTTGAAAAGTTTGTAAATGATTGCACTTTTGTTATTATGTGGTCAGCTGAAGGGAAAATATCTGCAGAAAAAGTCCCATTCTCTTAAACAGATTGGGTCCTGCTTTATCACATTCTCTTGCATTAGTATAGTCAGCAGCAATAATAGTTGGGAGAAGCAGATAACTAGCTGAAAAACGGTATTTTAAGTGTTTGTACAGATGTGATGTAATTCTACCTTCTGTTTAAAGTAACCTCCCCCCATAAGACTAGCATGCATATGGGCCCAACCATGCATTCCTTGCACACCCTGAGCTTTCACTGAAGAAGCCCCAAGAAGGCTTGAGGATGGGTGTTTTAACTAATTTTAGTGATAGGATTCTTCTTGCTACATTAACTGACATTACTATTGGTTTGTGATGGGCTGCAAATTACAGGGAATTGCAGTTAGAAAATTTGAGGATTCAGCTTTTCTTTATTGCTGACTTCCTATATTTAGAAAGCTTTAAATTAAGCCAAGTTCTAATTAGAATTAGTTTTGTTGGTCCTCATCCTGTGCTCTGATGTGTGCAGGCAGGTTTGTATTTGCATGAATACTCATTTTACTGAGGTTCCTGCTACTGTTGGACTGGGAAGAGGTGGATACAGAAATAAAGGGTAAACTACAGGATCTTTTCCAGTATGGTGGTAGTTCAAACAAAGGACTGAGCACAAATACCTGTTTACTATTGCAGAATATATGGACCATGATTACTTCTGTTAGTATGGGAGGCTAATGCTTTTGCTTTATGAATTTTCCTTTAAAATAAATAAATAAATCATGGAATGTAATTCTTATTGTATAAGTATGCTGACATAGGATAGGACCCAGTGAAACTACACTTCTGATGTGAAGGCTAAAATCAGGACGTTTTTCAAGACTTCAAGCAGGATTCTTTAATCTCCTTAGAGATTTAATTATCTTTGTTTCTAAGTTACTGGCTCTTACAAATTCTGCTGAGGATAGAATATCTGTTTTTTCTCATCGTATACTTTTCTATGTATTTAAGTGCTAAAACAAACAAAAAACCCTTTAGAGCAAGTTATTTCTTTTTGTTGTTTTTTATTTTTAAAGACAAATGTTTTGGCAATACTGAATTTGGAGTGGATTGTAATGTCTGTACAAAGACTAGTTATTTTTGTCCTTTTATTTATTGAAGATGCCATTAAATGTTACAAAATCTTTCAAGTTGGATTTAAAATTGAAATGAAGATTAAAGGTAATATGCCAATGTGTTGTGCCCACTTAGCAGCAAAACTGTACACAGAATTTGAGAAGATTGAATAAACTTTGTTCTGTGGCTTAATAGGAGTGCTTGGCTTAATTTCTCTGTACATATTTATGAAAAACAATATATATGTACACTTCATATATCTTGCATGGACAAACACACACGGATATGTCTATAAAGGTTCAGCTTTCAGCATCAGAACTGAAGTCCTGAAGAGATGAGAACTCCGCAGGCATTTCCCTAATCTTTCTTGATTTCTTGACCTTTTCTTGATTATATAGGTTTGTCAAGTTACTACATTCTTACAGTTCTGCAGCAATAATTCGTTTGGAATGTCTGTGAAAGAAATGGGGCTTGGGAAGTGGACCAGGAAACCTGATCCTATTGTGTGGCTACTGTTAGAGATTATTTTTTTTTGATTTCCCTTGCTTCCTTGCTCAATCACTGACTTCTTGGATGCTTTTCTGCTACTCTGCATCACAAGTTTATGTGCTTTGCTGGAGATTGTGTTCTTAAAGGAGCTTTTCTTCCATTTAGGGTACTTTTAGTCTAGATGCATCAGTTAAGAACTTGCTTTTGGACACTGGTCATGGTTGCCCTTCAAGATAGACAAACTGAAAACTGTTTTGGATATCGGTGGAAGCAGGATTGGTGCAGCATATTTTTTTTTTTTAAAGACAAACACAAAAAAAAGTGGAGAGGTTGCCAGGCTTATTTTAAGTCTTCATATTTCACAGAGAGGTTTGTCACAAATGAGTTGTTTATTCACATGTAGGTTTCCAGTAAACAACATGTTGAACTTGAAACCTTACTCTGGAAAGATTTGCACAGCTGGCCTGAAAGGAACGGGAAAAGCAGGGAATTTTCCAACCCGTGTAGGTAGCTTTCTGCTGGTAAAACTGTGTAACCAAATGTTATTTTAAAAACTGTTGCTGAAAGCTTACTCTGAGGATGTGGAGTCTCCTAGGGGACAGACCGACAAGGGTAAGACTCTGGTAGCTTGTCCCAAAGCAAGCTTTCCTCTCCCATAGGTAGGAGAGGTGAACTGAAAATCCTTGCCAGAAAGGTGCTGATTTGTCAGGGGAGTGGGGCAGAAGAGAGTGGTGTGGAGAAGACTGCAAGCACGGAGCATAGGATTGCTGCAGTATAAGATATTCCCTACTGACAACATTTGTCCTTAATAAAAAGAGGTGGTTTGTGAGGGAATTCCAAGATCTTATGCAAAACAGCAGGGAAATCCGTGTGCTGCTGCCCAGGCTCAATTGAGGAGAATGGGAGAGTTAAAATGGGGGAAAAAAAAAATTGGCTCAGTCTGGAGCTGCCAACTGTTGTTATCTGTTGGCAGTTTCAAAGCTGCCAGCAGTTAGGAAAGTTACGGCTTAGTGGGCTACTTTCCTGCTTAGTTTGAAGTTCAGTACCAGTTCGGTCCCTGTTGTGAAGCAGATGTCTCTGAAAGCTGCGATCTGTGGCTGCTCGGTTGGCCTTCTGCTCAGGTGGGGCTGACACGCTGAAGAAGAGCAGAGCAGATTACTGCTTCGAGGCTGGTTGCATGGGGCTGTGTGCTTGCTGTAGCCTGAAGATCCCTGGACTAACGGCTGGCTAATAGTGAAAACTGCAAGACGATGCAAAGATGATTCAGCTAATCGGGTAACAAAGGAGACAGCAACAAAAATATTAAGACTTTGGATTGCATAGAGCAGCAGCTCTCACCCTCTTTTGATCTGCAGACCTTTACAAATCTTCCAGTGGAGATACGGGAGCATAGATGAATTTAATCCTGCTGCTCTCAGCTATTTTTCATGGATTGCTTAGTTTAAGATGGTGGTTTTCAGCCTGTGGTCTGTAGAGTATTTGTTGGTAACAATAGATGTCTTTATTGAGTCTGTTAATCTGCTCAGCTGAAGTATTCTCTATCCTCTTTGCTTTCTGCCTTTTAATGTCTTTTCCTTACCTTTCTGAATTGCAGATACTCTTTGGGATGGCGAAGGGGTGCTCTTACCAATCTCTGTTCCTTGCAAAAGCAGCAAAATCTTTAAGTACCACCAGCCTACTGCTGTTTCTGCCAGCAAGCTTGGTGCATAATCTGTTACAAAACTGATAATAAAGCGTGTTGTGCTATTTTTTAACTGTAGAAAATCTTTATAGTACCTGTGCTCTTTTCTCCTGTGAGATCAGATGTGCCCATCTTGCTTCAGCACAATGCTTAGCAGCAGCTGCATGAAAAAACCTCAGTCAGTAGACACTGAACTAGCAGTGACCTGTCATGCTTCGATGGAAGCAAGTGAGATGATTGAGGAGGGGAGTAAAGATACTTAAGGAAGCTCAGTCAATTCTGCTCTACTAATCAGACTCCGGCTTTAGATACCTATCTGTTCTGTGCGGCAGCGATGCTTGGATTTACTCTAGCTCATCTTTTCACAATTATGCTGGATAGAAATTCATACAAAATGCGCTCCCTGCCTAGAAGTTGGCTGTCTCCGCTTGTTCTCTGCCACCTTGAATTTCAGGAGTTACAGGGGCAGGAATTTACCTTGGGGTAAAGCTGTAGATTCTAAAATGAGCAGAATGAAGACAAATTGAGCCATTCTTGTGAAGAGCTAGATGCACAGCTCGTTTCGCTGCGAGCAGCGGTGCCAGGCTATTTTGTCATCCTGGTTTATAACTGTATTCAGACAGCAAAAGAGAAATCTTCTCTTCCCCCTCAAATATTTGGCAGAAAGCTTGCTTTTGTCTAAAATGCTCCTTAAGTACTGTGCAAAACATTCAATGCTAAACCAAATAACAGTTTGAGTTGTGCTTTTTCTTTCTAATTTACAAATAGGAGGGTTTGGTTTAGTTTCATGTAATAGCCCGCTGCAGCGAGACAACTCTTGGAAAATGCAAGGCGCCATCCCAAAAGATATTATCTGTTTTATTCTGGAGGGCTTTTTAGCACAATGCAGTTCCTTTATGGTAAGAAACAGCAAAGACTGCGGGATTGCTGGGCAGCTCTCAGGGTAAGTATGATGATATACGATGGTATATGGAAATGGTATCTTATAAAGCGGATCCCTTTGCACAAAACTAAACGTCTGTGCTCAGCACACGTTTTCGTTCAGTGCTGTGAGATGTGAAAAGGTATTTTGGGATGACTTCTCAATTGGATCAAGTCTTTGGAATGAAGCTCAGTCTATCATGGGGGACTTCAGGGATTACCAGAATCTGTCAAGGTACTTGGAGAATCAAATTAATGTGTGGTGGCCTCTTCATGGAGCTGTCTCTTCAGGTTGCTGCTTGGGGCATTGCCACTGTTGTCTTCGAAGCGAGATCCAGCTGAAGTCCCCCGCTGTGATTACCAAATATTCCAATGATATGTTCTAACCCAAATACCTCTTGTCATCCGAATACCTCCTGGGGTTACGTTTGCTATGATGGAAATCATCAGTGCCTTTTTTCAGGGGAGGACTGGCACAGAACAAAGCTCAGCTGCTGGCCCTGCCTTGTACTCCACACACACACATTTCCTTTGGGAGGGAGATGTTCTGTGGGTGTTGTAGTGGCTTGTCTACTTCCATTTTTCTTTCCAGGCCACTCACCCTGGATGGACAAACTTTCCCAGCAGCAAAGCACCTCCCTACCCCAAGAGGGGAGATGGTTGCTGGAGCGTTAGAGGAGCCCTTGGGCACAGGAGACAACGATGTCATGAAACATCCTGGATGCATTTCACAAATGAAAGTGTAATCAGCAGCCACATTTTTGCTGGCTAATCAGAATGTCCATGGAAAATAGACATAGGGGTAATTTTACCGTATTCTTTTTCATTTAAAGTTTTCTGTGGAAAGAAAGTGCATTTGACCGCTTCCTTGTGACACAGAGCTCGGCATTTGAAATGCTTGTTCCTGAAGCGAGCACTGCATTTGGCTCACCATGTGTGACTTCTTGTGAAGCTTCCCTGGGCTCTTGGATGCTGTTCCTGCCAGCAAGAGCAGATTGCTTCCAGCAATAAACATCCCACAAAATTATGTATGTTCCTTAAGAAAAGTACCAAGATTTTCTGCTAATTGCAAAAATACATAATGGATGCCTTCAGCATCTGTTATTTATTCTATAACCAGCTTTCATCCAAAAGTAACCTTTAAACAAACATTAAGATTGGATAGTTTAACTGTTCCAATGTGTCACACACATCTACACCCTCCAGTTTAATTATGTTTGAAACATGCTTGTATTTGACTCTTAGTGAGAGGGAGAGTTGTTTATATCTCCAGCTCGTAGACGTTCACAACCTGGAGAGGACGATGCTTGGAGCCAGACGTGAAAGCCTGTCTCGGGCGTTTAGCTTTGCTTTTTTGGGAAGCGGCCCCACAGCCTCCTGGAGGTGGGATTGTGCTCGCAAGGCAATTGCTTAAATGTGCCACAAGGAGGGGTGCAAGGTTCACCGAGAACAGGACGCGGATTGCAAGTGTCGTTCATAAGCTGTGCAGTATTCCCCGTGCATTGAAAGACTTAGTTTTTTTAAAAAGCTTTTTTTTTTTTTTTTCTTTCTGATAGTGTAACTTGAAAAAAAAAAATCCCATAAGGAAACATATTTTGGGATGGTGTTTTGTTGCAGAGAAATCTGCTATATTGGTAACGTGGCAACAGTGAACATCATCAGGCTTTTTTGTCAGTTTATTTAATTGCATCTAATGAGAAAAACTAGGTGGTGCCAATTAAATTACTGCGGATGTTCTGTGCCACCAGGTTCGTGATAGGTTTGTCATTCCCGTCCTGAAACAACTATGGAACTTTTTGAGCTTGTCTTGGGTGAGATCTTTCCATGAGTGAAAGAGTCATATACCTGGTGTCCTGGAAACTGTTCCTGGTGTCTCCATCCCAGGCTGATGGAGAGACTTCTCTGAGAAGTGAGAGCTGGCACGGGGAGCACCAGAGGTGAAGCTGCTGGGAAAAGCCGAGTGCTAAGCACCTGGTTCCCTTCCACAGGACAATTTTAGAGGAAAATGTGTAGCTACGCAGCCAAAACTTGCACTGTTTTGGCTGTTCAATGATAGTTCTTGACAAAAGCTAGTTGCTAATTGCTTACAGAACAGCTCAGGACCTGCTGACCATCCTGCCATCGCTGCCCCACGCTGCAGTTTCAGGATGAGCCTGCTTTAGGATCTGTGCTTTAGGACCTGTCAGTGCAGTGTTCTTAGGGCACTGCTTCGTGTTGGAAGAGAAGTGCCTCGAGAACAAGTTAACACAATTGCAGGCAGAGTCAGAACCAAAACCAGCCTGGGATTCTCCTTCCCCTTGTGGGATGTGACATCCTGCAGTACTTGTGTCCAGCTCTGCTGCACAATAAAAGGCTAGATAATTATGCTTCAGATAACACGTGTCTTTAAAAGTTAATAAGAACATCACTTAATTAAAATAAGGCACAAATGACCTTAATAGTAATAAGAAAAGGTGATAACCTTCATTTTGAAAATTAGTTGAAAAATGACTCATCCATTAACTGTCAGTGTGACAGAAATTACTGAGGGGAAGGGAGATTTTGAGTCCTAAGGGGAGAGCAGGTAGGTTTCTGCCATCCCAGTACGCACAGGGTCACCACAGCAGCTAACCATGGTAGGCAGGAGGCATATTAAGAGCCTTAATTAGCTTTGTTGTCACTTTTCCATCAGGAGCAATTAATTAGCTCCTGCCTTATCTATCCTGCTGTCCCCTCTCAGAACTACACGGTCCCATAACAATATGAGCTCTGGGGAAAAGAAAGGGATAAAAGTGGGGAGGTGAGAGCCCCCCAGAGCAGCCAAGGAGATGCTGAAGGGTCCCAAAAGGGTAAGATCTTTGGCAAAAACCCCAAGGTGACCCTGATGAGCTACTAATTGCTTTAATTGGTTCCAGCCCAGGTGCCCAGGGCTCTGTGGTGAGGACAGGGACTTGCTGGCAGGTTTCCCTGAAGGTGGTGTGAAATTGCATATAGGAGCCCAGGTTTTGGTGTCCTGGTAGGGCAGGGCTGTTCCTGCAGCCTGTGCTTTGGGATCCAGGGAAGGAGCAGAGGTGAGTGCTCTGGGTTTGGTTGTCACTGCTTTGTTTTGTTTTGCTTTGCTTTGCTTGTGGGTGAAGCTCTCAGTGCTGCTGGGCTGTCCAGAGGCAAGGTGCTAGGGGGGTTTGCAGTGCCGGGAAGGTATGGCTGAGTTCTTTCCTTGTGTTTTGTTGGGTGTCATAGAGTGTAAAACTTTTGTCCCTTAAGACAGAGATCTGCAGCTGGCACAGGCTGCCTGTCCTGCCTGGGGCACCCCTTCCCTACACAGCGAGCATCTCAAAGCCCCTGGCTGGCTGAGGAGCTTGGTGGCACTCGAGGGGACTCCAGTGCCACAAAGTCTGCGTGACTAAGAAGCCTGCCAGGCGCTGCGAGAACACAAAATTAGGTTAGAAATCAGCTGGGGCTTGGTTTTGTCTTTGCTTTCTGATTTCCCCCCCTCCCCTTTTTTTCTGGTTTGTTTGTCTCTGTCCAATAACCACAATGAGTAGAAAAGTTGTTTTTTTCTTTTTAAAGCAGACTCAGATTTCCATGTCATCCCTTATTTTTAGGAGCTTCGATTAAAGGGAGAGAGGGAACCCAAAACCAGCGCAACACAAAACCAAACTGACTCTCTCCAGCTTTGGTCCTCTCGCTGTGCCCTACCTGGGAATGCTTCCCAGGACACTGCTAGGTGGTGCCTGTGGCAGGTGAGCCCCTGTTTGGGGGACAGGTTCCCTGGAGATGTGGGATCCCCATTTGGGCCCTGCACAACTCTGCCTTCGTATATGGACACCAACAGTCCCCAAACCTGCTCCTTTAGGGGTGATGCTAGAGGCATCCCATGAGGTCTTCAGGGGTGAAGCACAGCCAAAATAAATTAAAAATGTTTCCAAAGGTGAAAAAAGTCCCAAACTGCCCTATTATTTAAAGGAGCTACCTCCCCTGCGTGACCTTTGGGTGCGTGCTGATGGGTACCCGCCGCAAGGATTTAGTCTGGATCCAAATCCCCTCTCCCTCTGCCTTTCTCCCCTGAAATGGGAGCTGTCATCATGCTGCTCAATCTTTTAAGTTGGCCTGAATGCTGCTTGTCTCTCTTGCTTAATAAAAGCAAAAAGTCTCTGGGAATCTGCATGAGGTCATTGCTCTATTTTAAGGTGTGTTCTCTCCCACTGTCTTTAGTATTGGCCTGGTCTCTGCTTTATGATCCAGGTGAAGGCACGTTCCCATGAGAGGGTTATTGTAGTGGAAGCAGGGGAGGCAGGAAGGGCTGTAGGTCTGTGAATATGCCCGTTGAGGCCACTGTAGGTCCCCTCCTTGCTTCATGGGCAGGAGGAGCCCTGAGGTCGCCCCCCACCTCCTGGGCAAGAGCATTGCTTCGGGCTGGATGGTGGTGGAAAGTGGTCTCTTGCTGCTCTCCAGTAGGAAGCACAGCTGTGAAACTGCTTGAAATACTCATCAGAAGTAATAAAAGCTCAGCTGCTAGGAAGATCATGGGGGTGGGCCAGCAGTAGCGTGTCTGAGAGCATTGGGTTGCTGTGGTGCAAGATGTACATCTCAGGTGGGGTAAGCCCTCTGCCAGGGATGAAATAAACTCTTGCAGCTGGGACCTCTACCTGCTGAGCTGGTCTGGTCATTTTTGGCCTCAGACCACAGCCCACCTGATGTCTTTAAACAAATCAATCAAAGGGCAGCGGTGGGGAAGAAAACACAAACAGGAAGGGCAGGTTGGAAGGGCAGGTTTCAGAGCGAGCTGATGCCATAAGGGGGGATAAATCCCTGGAGGGTGTGTGAAAGGGATGGCTCCAGTACTGACGTGGTCAGAATTTGGGTGGAAATGAGGAGGGGGGGAACTGTCTGGCTCCGGACAATACCTGGCGACTTGCGGAGAGGAAGAGCAATGAGGCTGATGAGAGGTGACCTGGGCAGGTCACTCAGAAAATCTGGTTTGCTGGCCCAGGGAGGACAGGGCAGCCTTGGCTTGATGTTATCGGGGACTGCGTGCCAGGGAGGAGGCAGCGATGTGGGTGGGAGTCTCTGTGACGGTGTACTGAGGGGTGGTGATGTCTGTCAGGAAAGGGGATTTCAGCAAACCCTGTGATTTTTTTAAGGAAAAAAATCATTATTTTTTTATCTGTATATGCTCACCTGGCTGGGTGAGCAGAGAGCTCCAGACCTTGCTATGCGGTGAGGCGGTCCCAGAGTCCACGAGATCCTAAACCTTGCATCTCCATAGGATTTTGGCATCCAGCTCCTGCTGGTTGAGCTGAAGTGACTTTCCCAAGGGCATCCAGGTTTCCTGGGGCATAAAAGAGAGGGGACCCCAAATATCTCAGTTAACCTTAAACTCCCATAGCACCCTGTCTCCTCCTTAGCCTACTTAACAGGCAACAGCTCAGGGTACCTGTTAGTGCAAAGCCTGCTCATCAACACGTTTGTATTGGTTTAACACCAAAGTTGGTGCATTTCTGGGGTAATCACAAAAACGCGTTGGTTTCTTGTTTCTCTCAATGACATTCTGATTTTAAGATGGCAATGTCGTGACTAGAAGGGGCCTGCTGAATAAACAGCCATCGCTTCTCTTTGTGAAGAGATTGTTTTGTTGTGCTTACAGAAAGGACTTCTGCTGCCATGTGTTGCCTCTTAGAAGCAAAAGGAATAATAAGCAACAAAGAAGTCTTTAGATATGGTGCCTATTTGGAAGGAAAAATCAGGTTTGCTATCGTGTGCATCATTCAATTTACTTTATATTAATTTGATCTTTTCTTTTCAGCGCGACCTGATTAGTTCCATATGTTTTTCCCCACGGCTTGGCCAGTAAAACTGCTTGTCTGAGTCATCAACTAGATAAATAATTGGCAGCTCCAAGGGCCCATCTCCTAAATCATTCCGCAGCCGCTTGTGGCCCGAGCAGATCCCGGTTGCTTGTGCGTTTGAGTCAGCTGTAAAGTCTAATCTGGGCTTTCACTGGCCCCAGGGGACCAACAAACCGCCGATTACGGAGCCTCACGTCGGCTTGTCTTGGCACAGCCACTGGAAGAACGCAGCGAGCCGCTGGGGACCGTGTGGTCAGGGCTGGTATTTATGGTTGGGGCCGAGGAGCCGTCCCGAAATGGGCACCCCGGGGTGCACACCTGGCAGCCCTGTGGTTTCTCTGCGGGGACCTGGCACGGGGCCTGGGCTTCCCTGGGGCTGAGCTTCTCTGTGGGGACCCTGTGCTGGCATCTGCCCTTGAAGGGGCCCGTCCGGCCTCGGGCTGTCCTGGCATCTTTCTCTTCTCCAAATGCAGCTCGGTCCCAGGTGCAGCTGGTTGAAAGGCAGCCCCCAGCTGTGTGGCAGGGATCGAGAAGCACAGCTACGTGGGCTGCATGAATATGGCCCCGTGTGGCCTCTGCCTCACCACAGCTCAGCCCTGTGCCTGCAGCAAGAAGGTGGGCACGGGCTTGTTCCTTCACCCATGCTCCTCTCCTGGGAGACTCAATTCCCTCTACTCATTCCCTCTGCTTAAATAAGAGAAATGTTGGATATCAGCTCTCCCGTCCCAGCTAGTTATTTCTGGCTTGGTTTATTTTATTTTTGTTTTTTTTAAGGGTGCCATGTGGGTTTTGCTGAAATCAGATCCAAGCAGTAACCCCGCCGTGGTGGGGGAAGTCGTGCTGCTGTCCTGAGATTGCAAAGGGAGCTGAACTGGATGCTCTCTTCCCTGGACGTGGGGTTTGGAGGGTATGACTAGAGCTTAAAATACAAGAAGGTGCCAAAAGCAGGATGAGAGATAGCTCGGCAGCGATCTCTGAGCTTGAGGAAAAAGAGTGTAAATCTGGAACAGGCCCACGGTCTTCAGAGCTGGCTCCAGGCATCTCAGCAGGGGAGGCACGGCTTCTGCTGGGTTGGAAAAATAAAGTGTGCCTCTTGTGAGATGTCCTGGCCCTTGGCTCGTGTTAGATGTGTTTGGGGCAAGCCTGGTGCCTCAGAGAGATGTCCCTGAGACCCAGGGCACGTGGTGGACATGGGGAGGAGGCAGAGCCCTCCTGCCCTTCGGGTGGCATTGAGGAGTTAGGTAAGTGAAGTGAAGTTAAAGGAGAGTGAAGGGATTGCACTGGGCTAGGATAAAGGTCACGTTAAATTACTGCAGTGTGTGACAGTGGTGCCCAGCAGGGTCGAAATGAGCTTCAGGGAGCTGAAGCTGAGCAATCGGTGTGTTATTACATGCACATCTCTGCCATGACGTGAGCCAAAGTGGCTCCTGCCGTGGCAGTGCCAGGCCTGGGCCTCTGAGGCCTGCTCAGGTCCTCATTTGACGGGTGCCTGTGGTGGGCTTTTTGGGGCTCCCAGGAGCTCAGAGGCCTTTCTGTGCAAAGGGAAGGACGCTGGGTGACCCTGTTGGTGAATGGGGCGAACAGGAGGCTGTTTCCCAAGGAAATGGTTAACTCCTCTGAGCAGCCTGTGCAAAGATGGATGCTCTCTTCTTCCCTAACCTTCCTCTTGTAACTTCTTCATTCTCTCTGTCCTCTTGAACATTTTGATGTGGATCTAGATTAGGGTTTTGCAAAAGCAACAGCTCTCTTCCATGGCTGCCCAGTGCCTTCTCCTCCTCTTCCAGCCCAGGAAGGACCAGCACTGGCTCCTTATAACCCCATGGGGTCCCTCTGCCCCCAGCACAGACCTGCTGGGGGAGAGGGGTGAGAAGAAGCAGAGGGCTGGAAGAAGCATTTGGTTAGTCAGTGGGACTGGCCAAGTTGAATTATATGTTAAAGTTTGACAGTTGTTGATGTGTTGAGCATTTTGTACCATTACAGGATTTTAGGAGTCCCAATGCAGATTTTCTATAATTTGTTTGCTGTGATTTGAGCGTTTTCCTTGAAGAAAGAAAATTCGCCATGCAATTTACTGCATGCATGTAAATTTTTTTTTAATGTGAAGTGGAAGCAAGCATCTGAAATCATTCTTCTCCTTCTGACAGCAACATCTGTAAAACCTTAAGGCTGGGAGGAGGCAGGAACCAAGAGATTTATAACCCCCCGCTGAAATATTGGAACGA